ACATGTGACATACCACTAAGATACTACTAACAACACTAACAGCATATGCCAAACCTGGCCGGTGCAGACCATAGCATACATCTTTCTACTATGCTTGTAAACGGAACTCGAGACATGTACTCCTTTTCTTCCTCGAATTGGGGCGTGTGTTTTACTAACTTGTTAGTAGCTGTTGGAGTGTCTATAGGTTTAGCTGATGACATGCCAAACCTGGACAATATCTTCTTAATGTACACAAGAAAAGTTTCTTCTGATTTCTATCCCTATATATTTCCATTCCCAAAATTTTTCGAGTAGCACCCAAATCTTTCATTTCAATTCTTGCACAGAGACGATCTTTTAGTTTCTAAATATCATACTTGTCCCGAACAGCAATCAACATAGCATCTACATACAGACCAGATAGATGCGAGAACCACCTTCAGCTTGTTGTAGTACACACAATATTCAAAGGGACTCCTATTGTAGCCTAGCTGCATCATATACCTGTCAAATCTCTTATACCAGCGCCTTGGAGACTTCTTAATCCCATATAAGGACTTCCTCAACTTGTACACATGATTCTCCTTTCCTGGAACCTAGAAACCAATTAGCTGAGTCATGTTATTCATGTATATCTACTCTTCCACAGTCTTCACGTCTAGTTGATCAAGCTCCAAATCCTGATGTGCAACTATTGCTAGTAGCATCCTGATAGAAATATGTCCTGACCACCGGCGAGAAAATCTCGTTGTAGTCTACTCCCTCATCTCATGGAACCCTTTCGCAACTACTAGTTCCTTATACTTAATACCCTCAGTAGGTGATATTCCTTCTTGAAAACCCATTTGCAATTGATGATCTTTCTCTGTGTTATCCAATTCTTGAGAAGAGACTTCATCTTGTCTCCCATTGCAGCCAACCACTGTGCTGACTCAGTTCCTGAAATTGCTTCCTTGTAGGGTGAAGCTCTACTTCCTTACCAAGTTGCAGTGCATAGCCCACCATATCATCAAACCCATACCTCTTTGGAGGTCCAACTCCAACCCTTCTTGATCAATCAAATGTAATGCTATGTTGAAAACCTTCAGATGCTTGATTTTTTGGTGGTGAAGATTCTGGCAGATCGGTTTCTGGTTGTGGTAGTTGTTCACTGACCAACTTCTGTGCCTCGCTCTCCCCTTGAGTGACTTGCACCTCCACCTGTTCATCAATAGCTCCATTCTCTGCTACATTAATGGACTTCACCATAGGGTTGAACATAAAACTCTCATCAAAGATTATACTCGTACTTAGTATAACCTGATTCTCAGATGGAGACTAGATTCTATATCCCTTCACCCCTTCTCTATAGCCCACGAATATTCCCTTTCTAGCCCTTGGCTCTAGCTTACCCTCATTGACATGATAGTAAGGTGTGCAACCAAAAACTCTCAATTTGAGTAATGAGCAGACCTGCCCACACCTTATAAAGTATCTTATAGTCAATTCCTGTGTGTGGTCCCCGATTTGTTATGTAGCATGACGTTGTAACCGCTTCGGCCCAGAAACACATAGTTAGACCAGCATTAGAGAACATGCACCTCGCGCTCTCAAGAAGTGACTAATTCTGCTGTGTTGTATCCCTGAGTGTGCGATGTCGAGCAATCCCCTCATTCTTGCAAAACACATTGAACTCAGACAAACAAAATTCCAGACCATTATCAATTCGCAGCCTCTAGGCCGGTGGCAACCTTTTCCCGCTAGGGGCCTCCTCCGAAGGAAGTTTTCCAGGCTCCACCCGGAAAGCCCGAGGTTAGAGGACTATGAGGCATGACCATCCTCCTTGGACGTTTCCTTGCTAGAGTAACCCCCGCTGATTTTAACTTGGGGACTCATGTCGGAAAGGGAAGGTCGGACTCCACATCTGAGTCTACATTAGGATGACCTCGCCATTAGACGCAATGGAACACGTGGTGAAATGAATGAGTAGAATGAAAGAAACTTACCTATGTGACCTGTACTCCAGGCCACCATCTTCCAGGGGAGATTGATGGAGAGATACTTTGATGGGGACCTCCCGGGTCCCGATTTCTTCCTCGTAAGCCTTCTTGGCAACATGACTATCGTCAGAAGGGTCACTTCATAAAGCATTTATTGGAAGGGCTCTCATCCTCTGAGGAGTGAGTCGTCTCTTCGTTAGAAGAGCTGCTCTCTTCTCCGTTGACGAAAGAGCAAACTTCAAAATTTTGGTTAGTAGGACGAAGCTTGGCAAGCAACACGTCCCCAACTGGGTTAGAGGTGAACCGTTGACACGAGATCATGGATTGATTAAAGACGTTGTCAAACCCTAGGTTAGTACCTTCCGAAAACACAGCCTAGAAGCTCTTGTGGTCCTGTTTATCTACTTCGCTGGGCACATTGGCAAAAAGAGGTCATGCTCACATAGTATTGTTAGGGGTGAACCGGGGGTCTTATCAAGTTGCTAATTTTGTGGTGAATTTGTGGAGGAAATGAACACGGAAGTATATGGGGCGAAATTTGGGAGGTGTTTTTGGAGTTCTTTTTGGTGTTTTTTTATGAAGAAAAAGAAGAGGTTTAGGAAGAGAATATGGGGAGGTATGAAATGGAAGAAAATCAGGGATGGATAAACCAAGTTGGTATTTAAGAGATATTACACTCTTATCCTAACTTGGGGTTTGAATCTAGAATTTAATTAAAATATGACACAATCAAATATCTATAACCTAAAACTCACACTTAAGATAACCACTCTTAAGATATAGAATTAGGAATTTGGCTAAAATAGCATCACACTATTTTATAAATACTCGAAGAGTAAAAGGGAGTTTTTATATTCAAGGTTGTGTTTACAATGTCCATAGGGCCTGATTATATAGGGAGAGGGGAAGGGGAAAATACATAATACATTGAATGTGAACATGAGGAAGCTTTCTAGCAACATCCACTTCCAAAGCATGGGGTAACCTTCATTTAATCCTGTCTCCTTGGTGGACTAAAATCAGAGATGGGGCTGGGGTTTGTGGGGGTTTTGAGCTTTGGTTTGTAGTGGTTGTTTCTTGGGTTTTAAGGCTATTATTTGGGTAAATATGAGGGGTTGTGTTTGCTAATAAAAGGGGGCAGGGATGGGGGATATAATGGGTGGTTTTGGACTTATAGGTTTGGGTTATTTGTGAGGGAACATGAACAGGAATGAGTGGCTAGTGGTGGGTCAGGGTTTTGGCTCTTTGTGGGTGTTTATGTTGGGATTGTGAAGTGTATTTTGGCCAGGGGATGAATGGAATAAAGGGAGGGTTTTATTTGTTTAATAAAAGGCTTAAAAGAAGGAAAATAACAACAAACAAACGGTTTTGGTTTGCACACTCTTATTTTCGGCCAGGGGCTAAAATAAGAGTAATAAAAACTTTATTTTAAAATGAAATTAATGGCAAGGAGTTTTGGATATTTTGGGTTGGGTTGGACGGAGCGGGAGTCGGCATGTGGAACCCTTGGGTCCGAAGTTATTCTGGCCTCTTGGGTTGAAGGACTCGGAATTCTCACTAAAACGGATCATAATGTTTGAATGTAAGTCCTCTGGTTTTTGCGAGGGTGTGGGACATGGGGGAGGGTATGATAGGGCCAGGCCCGGATATAACAAGTATACCCCCCTAGAGAGAAGAAGTGGTTGAAGAACTCATGGGTTGTGGACTCATGAGGGAGAGATTGTCCGGACAGTGTGCATTGGCAGTCAACTGACTCGGTGGTATGGAGTGGCGGCGAGAGACCTCAACCACCCAGTCATGGAAGGGCAGTCGACACCCTAATCAGATGGATCTGCAATGAAAAAGGAACATTGGTGATCAGATCAGTGTTCCCGATGGGTGTTGAAAGGATAGAAGCGATGTGTGTGATCTCAAGGCCAATGATGACAGTTGCTATGATGAGGAAACGACTAGGGATCAGATATTGAGGTCGCCGGTGCGCGACCGTCAAGGTGGATAGACTTCTGTGTATTGGTTGAAATGATAGTAAATAGCTCTTGGTATTGTATATTACATGTTATTCCTTGACATGCATGCACAAGAAATTAAAGGGCTTGTGATGAGTATATTGGGCTGAACTGCTGAAGAGATTATGGTTTATGTTACACGCCCAATATGCATATCCAAGTCCAGTGGACCAAGCCCCCTTCTAGAGGCGTCTCGTGGACCAAATGAGCGAGTCTGCCTGCATAGGCCAAGAGGCATAGCGTAGAAGTTTGAGGCACAGCTAGAGGGCTAGTTACTTGGGGGAAGGGTTTGGTAGTCTCCTAAGCTAACCCAAATGAATCCCAAGAAAAGTGGATCATATTGGGGTTAATTAGGAATCCATGCATCTCATAAATACTCCCCATAATATCATAATAAAGGACACAGAGTCTCATGCGATTACCTGAGTGGCTGAGTTTATATGCATCGTCTTTGTTATTCTTTTTTTATATTCATAATGAGTGATGCTCCCGCGAGGAGTGAACTGTTTATTTCAGTGGATGAAAAGGCCATCAAACATTATACTCCAACGGCGTGGATGACCAGTCTGAGTTTTAAAACACCACATGCAACAAGCATTATTCCAAACCATTTTGTTATGCATCATCCTCACCCAAAGCCTAAGTTTTTAGTTTGGTTTGGTCTTAAAACCAAGTGCAAACACTTGATTTAGTCACAATTGATAACATTACAACAACAACAAACCCTGGTAAAATCCCACGAGAGAGGTCTGTGAGGATGGGCAAGTTGGTGTACACAAACTGTAACCCTGCTTAGAGAGGCTATTTCCAAAACACCCCAGCTAAAGCATACAAGACCAAGGTTAGCCGGTTCAACAGATAAAAACACCTAACTACATCTGAAAGATCCTGAAAGCCCTACACACCCAAAGAACCACTCTTACCAAGTTTGATCTTTGAACGAATCAAGTCCAATAAAAATTTTCAAAAAGGCACATAAACAGAACATGACCAAAAACTAGAGGGAACCTTAAAAGGAAAATAACTAGGTTACCAGGCAGATCTTTCTTTAGGCTCTTCCACTCCTCCTGTATTCTTTTGACCAAGGCTTTTGATGGCTACACACAGAGAATGCATAATATAGGACACATAAGGAAGTACTTATCTAACTGGACTCATAATAAATTACAGGTACTACGTTTACCGTTTTTGAAGCATTTTTAGAATAGTGATGGCCTGAATCATCCTGCACCATATCGAATTTCTTGAAAGCACGAAATCTCCCAAGTGCTTCATCAATATTTTTAGACTGTGCACCGATACCAATTGACTGCAATGAATTAGGTGCAATTCCTGTAGCAGTTGCGTAATTGTGACCTATGACAGGAGTACCAGCCGGAACAAAGCCAGGAAAGTAACTCAAAGGTGCCGAGGGCACTATAGTGGGGTAGTTTGTAGAGTTTAGGGGGAAGTTCATCCAATCAGTCATAGAAGACTTGGCTGCAACTGTAAAAAGAGAAGACTCCACTGGAGCAGATAGATTATGTGAACCAAATGAAGTGGCTTCATGGGGAAAAACAAATGACTTCTTTCTTGAATTTGTGTCAAGTGAACTATCGGTTGCATCTGATCTCTTCCCTAAAGCATGACCCAAAGCAGGGACAGATGACTCCGGCTTTATAATCCTATGCCCAAATTTGGAGCCACTACTTGAAGAAACCTTCTTCCTCACCTTGGAGTGTGATAGCAAATTTTTGTTCGAACCACACATTGACTCACCATAATACTCGTCTCCAAATAATTCAAAATCATCTAAGATTATTGCACTTTGTGATCCAGGAGAGAATTTTTCCTTTGGAGTCTGAACCCCCTTAACAGCAGTAGTAATTTCTGAACCACCGCAAGGACCATGTGGAAGATCAATAAATACCTATGAATATTTATTGTGGAAGAAACTCAAAGTCATGAGCTAAACTAATATTATTCAACAACATATTTCATGTAAAAGAAATCAATGTAGTTACCTTCTCTTTTCCATTAGACAGAAAAGACCCTTTGCCCAGCCTAGCCTCATTATAATCATCTTCTATGTCAAGATCAATGACATCATGCACAGAAATCTGGCATGGAGGACGGATTTCATTAAATCGTATCAAAACATAAGGAAAAATAATTATACAGAAAAATTATTGTTCATCATGTGGCTTTAGTACTTCGGCTTATGGGTTGGTCAACCTGATTTTATAAAAAAGAATACCTCGTTCGGCTGCATTGGTGTAATCAGCTCATAATGGTAAAGAACACAGTAGTTTACAAACATTTTTAAATATTATTTCCCTCAATTCATTAAGAGGTAATGTTTTGCATCCCCTTTTATACAATTCTGCTTCCCACAACTGCCCATTATAAATGTATAATCCCAAATCTGTTGGATTTGGGAGGGTCAAGATGTCCACAACCTCACCCCCGTAAAAAGAGAGAGTCTATGTCGATTTGACCCTTGATTGTTGTGTTTACTATCCAAAACTCCATAAAATGTTAGAAGCAAAGAGTGTTTAATGTAGCATTTTGATTTAGTCTATTATTGCATAAAGCTAATACATTGTCAAAAACTCCATTTGACGTCTAAAATAATGCCCACAAAAAATTAATGCTTATTTAACAAATATACCCCAACAAAAAATTTTAGAATCAAAAGCCCCTTTTAGCATCGAGAGAACATCTTCACACATGCTTATTATTATTACTTTTATTATTATTACCGTTATTATTAATTACTATTATTCAATCAATTAGCAAAATTGACGTGTTTAAATCTTTACTCAATCCTCAAGTTGATTTCCTTCTCCAAAACAGTGGGTTGACTGAAAGCTTGAAATCAACCGGCACGAATATGAGACTGCATGTCTTGATGAGCAAGATCCGTGAAGACTTGACATTTTCTAAACATCATGCAATTAAGCTTACAGTTATATTTTGATTGACTAAGATTAACCCATTATTCCATTAATCGCCAATGGAGTTAAAAGAGTCATTATAGACAATGCTTTAGTTTTGGGCACGTAATGAACTATATCAAATTATCAATATGGAATATTAAATTTTCATGGTTTCTTGCTTTCTATGAAGTTTTGGACAGTAAATGCAGCAATGCATCCAAGTTCTAATGAAAACAATATCTCTCTTTTTACAAGTATAAGAGTACGTACATCTTGACCCCTTAGACCCCAAAAAATTTCAAATTATACTGGATTGTTGTTGCTGAAGCTCGCTCATGTTTGTAGATGAGACTTACTTTATGTTGGTCGTGGAATAAATATTATTTATGTTTCGAATGGGAAAGTAATACTACATACCAATATTACTATTACTATGTTACAAGTCATGGGATTCAACTAGGTTGTTGTTGTACTCCGTTACAAGTATTTAATGTTAGGAAGACTTTTGGGCCAATTTGAGTCCACAAACCCCTTATCCCTATGATAAATTGCTTCCTCTTTATTATGTTCTCTGATCTAATAATGCCTAGGGGAAGTGCCATGTGCTGGAGCAAAAAATCATTGCCAGATTTTGCTTAATAGAACTGAACATCCTATATCCTCTCTATCCAAATTCCAATTATTCAGTTTAGCCCAATAATCACAGCAAGACAATGAAATTAATGAAATTAAAACAAAGTGAAATAAAAAGATCAGTCAAAAAAATGCCATTAAACTATTTATTTTTATCAAAAAGGCCACTACATTTTTTTTGCTGGAATGCCGTTTAACTTTTAACATTGTTCAAAAATGCCACTCCATACGTTTCTAGCCGGTAATTGCCGGTTGCTATACTTTTTTAAAAAAAACTCTAGTCGCTATATTATGTCAATGTAAAAATAGGATTTCAAAACAAAAAGAAATCCAATTACTTTAAGATTAATCCAAAAGCCCTGGATATTGAAAAAAAATACCTTTCTTTTAACATCCAACTCTGTTATTAAATCCCAAAAAATTAAGAGAGCAAGGGCTTTGAATGAAAAATAATGCAGTAATACAGAGAAACTATTACCACATACGAAATATTATCAAAACACACATTTACTTTCCACACTATATTTGTTTAAATGCCCTTCACAGTTTTTAAAACATTTTTAAAAAAATTAAAACATGGAAAACCGAAACCCCCCTATTCAAAAACATAATAATACTTAAATTTCCCATATTTTAATTTCCAATCTATGTTTTAGAAAATTCCCAAATTCAAAGGCATTTAAAAATTATTGAAAATATTTAAAAAAAAAAAAAACTTGATTTTCTTCCACTAGATGTAATAGAGATTGGTAAGATTATTGAAAAATTGAAGATTGATGAAAGAGAACCACAAGTATCAGATGAGAAGGAATGAAGAGAGAGCCATAGGCCATATAACATGAAGAATGAGGTTTTAACCGGCAATTACCCCCTAGAAAAGTAGGGAGTGGCATTTTTGAACAATGTTAAAAAGTTTAATGGCATTATAGAAAAAAAAAAGTATTGGTATTTTTGACAAAAATAAATAGTTTAATGGCATTTTTCTGACTGCTCTGTAAAAATCAGTCAGCAATAGCAGTCAAGCTGAGCAATTAACAAGAGACGCATCTATGTAAATCCCACGCATAATGATGAACCGCCTCACCATACATAGAACAAATCCCAAAAAAATATGGCGGAAAAATCATAATAGTGCTACAAGATACAGTAAGGTATTTTCAAGAAAGTCGTGACTTTGCTTACCTCTTTTTGCTTTAGAATCTTTGAACTTCGGTTAATTGGAGGTGGGATTTCAATCACATCCTCATCCGTTGAGCTTCCTCCTTGGAACACTATTTTCCTGCGGGAATTCAATGAAAATCAGAATACCAACAAATACAAAGAAATTTCAGACAGGGTTTTGGGTATTTTTACTTGGTAGCGTATCTGGAGAGCGACGGAGGAGACTCCATAGGCACAGAAGAAATAGGCAAAGAGGAGCTTTTTATAGAAAAATGCTAGGGGTACACATTTTGTTTATCCCCTTTGTTCCCCATTCTCTCATTGTCCACAAAAAGGCAAAAAATTCAAAAATAAAATAAAAATAAAAATAAAATAAAAATGGGTGATAGAGAACGGGGTGATGTACATTTAGAGTACACCTTTAGGGGTACCCCTAGCATTGCTCTTTTTTATATGATTCACAAAACAGTCGCTTTGGTGATATGATCAATTGATCGTCGATAAGAAATTTCCCTTAACTATTGCGGTTCTACCATGTACTGCGAATTTATTTTTTCTTATACAGTAGTAAAGACTACAGGATGTTGTCACCCGTGTATGGGTCCCGAGTCCCCGTATGCAATATTTGAGGCAGCAATACGATCAATCTGATCCGTTCAGCTTTGCAATATACTTAAGACTAGTGATGAGCCCCTTCTTCGCACGGGTGATATACAATTTAAACTTTTGACAGTTTAGAAATATAATTTTATTTATTTTAAATAAATAGTTTTTTCACTTTAAGATATACGGAGTATATTTTTTAAATAAAAAGTATACTTTAAATATTGATATACATGCACAAAAAATTCTATAACTATTTTATTTAAAAAGTATTAAATTAAATAAACAATAAAAATGCCAAAAACAATTTATTATCTTTGGAGGTGAAATGTTTTTTCATTTTTCTTAAAGTGAAATATTTTTTTAAATTAATAATAAAGAGTCTTATACATACTCTTCTTTAAAATTTTAAAATCAATATGCATATTTAAAATATGGAGTAAATTTTACAATGGTGAAATATATGTTTATAGAATTGTTAGAAAATATTAAAGTTTTATGCAAAATATAATCAAAGTAATGTTTTCTAATTCTAAAAAATAATATTCATTTAATATAATACAATAAAATATATTAAAAAAATCTTTTTAAAAATAAGCTTAATGGACCAATGAAATGCTTCCACCTCATTAATTAGTGCACATGTAGATGCACATGTGACATGCCACATGTCAACACCACAAACAATACACTCAACTTTACATATATATATATATATATATATATATATACACTAGTATTCTGACCCGAAATAAAATTTATGTAGATACTAAATTATTTCAATGAAATTTATTTTTCAGAATAAAGAAAATATATTGCTCACATGATTTTTAATACTACAAATGAAAAAAGCCAAAGTAAAATAAATAATATTTGACGAACATAATGTAGAGTTAACAATGTTTATTTTAATACCAAATTTTCTAGAAAGGCTCCAGGGTATACAACATTTTTTCTATGGTTGCAAGGGTTTCCATTGTCATCTAGAGCTAATATTTTTAATCATGTCTTTATCTTCACTCGTGAAACAGCAACATATAGTTGACCATGTGTGAACACTGACTTATGGATGATGACTAAAAGTATTACATTGAGAAATAAAAAACATATGTTGCTATGTAGGGAAAGTCATTATGCTTTATGGTTATTGGAGTATCAATTATTTTAGTTGAACATAGCTTAGTTGCCATTTTGATAAATAAATTACGTGTTAGATATAAGTAAATTTTCTAATTTAAAAATTATATTTGAGCTTTGAATTAATTACATTGATCATTCCATGTCAATGCCTAAATTTTTTTTCCTCACATGCATATCATTTTATTTTAAAATATGTACTCACATTTTTTTATATTCACCCATTTCATATCAAATTTATTGCAAAGTTTTGAATGTAGTTTGGATTGGGAGTTGCTAGCTTGGATTTCATACGTTTCACTTTTAATCTTAGTTTTTTGGTTTTGTTAATTCGCATTTCATATGGGAATCATAAGAAATTTTGAGTTTACAGTTTCTTTTATTGACGATTCTTTTACAGATTTCAATTGAGGATTCTTAGATTTAATATGATGTTGGAATTTTTGGCATTTTAATAGACATTAAATTGACCAACTAGGGTATATTTGTCAATAGGTCCACTAACGGTTTTAACCGTTAATTAATGGACGTGTTTTATCTTAAATGAGATAAATGTTTTGACAAATATTACGCCAAAAATGGTAAAGGGTGAATGAAAAATTGATTCTCAGAGTTAACCCGTTAATAAAAGAATATGATGAGGATTGCAATTTTTGCAATTTTACTGAACCAATCTTCTTTTATTAATTTTACGTATTGTTTAAAATTAGCCCATTTTTACGGAGTTAACTGGCCATTAATCTCCAATTATTCGGGACAAATTTTAAACGGAGCGTAGCGTAACGGACGTGTTAATGGCTAATTAATCACCATTAACACACCACAAATGCCATGTTTAATACTAAGTCTTAATGGTGTGTAGGTTACACCTTTTAAAATAGATTAGTTATAAAGGTAAAAGGCTCTCTCCATTTTGTTTTGTGTGCTTCACGTGAGAAACAAAAGAGAAAAGAATGGAAATCTTTCTTGTTTATTTTTGAGAGGGCTCTTGGTTTTCCGGCCATTCCCTTTAAAGTTTTTTTTTGGTCGCCAACGTTCCTACGTTGTTCTTGTTCGTTGGTGTGTGGTTGGTCCGTACAATCTCCACACACGATAGCGGTTTTATCTTGGGGGGAGAGTGCCCACGTTTTTCAAGTACGGTAGGCGGGCACTACTACCTTAAGGACAACTCCGGCGACTCCGCTGTCCTTCCACGGTGTTGTGTTTTGCAGGTTCAGTTCATAAAGACCTCGCTGCATTCTGTCCTAGTGCATAATGTCCTCGCAGCCCAGTGCATAATGTCCTCGCAGCCCTGTGCATAACGTCCTTGAATCGTTGTCCAGTGCTTAAAGACCTCACTGTCCAGTGCTTAAAAACCTCGTTTTCCAGTGCTTAAAGACCTCGCTGTCCAGTGCTTAACGTCCTCACTGTCCAGTCCTTAATGTCCTTGTACAACAAGGCCGTTTGAAGATATAGCAATTTATTTTCAACTTTGTTTTTTGTAATATTCTGAATAAATTATAAATTCAGAATTTTATTTATTTTTATTTTCCGGGTCCGTTCATCTTCCCCGTCCGTTGTAATCCGTACAAGAATTGTAACAATCTTAAGGTAGTAGTCATTTCCGTGCGCAATGGCGGGTATGGACGAATTTGGTTTTGACGCTCACACCGGAAACGGGAGTAGTTCCGAGACTCCGGTTGTGAACGTTTCGGCTAGATTGGGTGGCTCTGTTGGGCAGACCACTCCGATCAACATTCCTTTCGGATCGAGTGCGGCCATCGGGTCCACTCCGATCACCACCTTCGTTGGATCGAGCGCGACTATGGGGTCCACTCCGGTCACCTCGGTTATTGGACCAACCGCGGCTACGGCCGCAATGGTCACCCCACTCGGACCGAATATGGCTTCGGCCATACCGGTCATTCCCTCACTTGGACCGAACACGGGTGTCTTCACATCCGCACCGGTCGGACATCCTACTGTCATGCTGCCTGCGAACTCTGTCAAAGAACCGGCAAAGTTCACAGGTGTTGGATTTAAAATATGGCAGCAAAGGATGTTATTTTGGCTGACCACCCTCAACCTTGCGAGGTATTTGAGGGAGGATCCCCCTATTGTGGGGGAAACCGCGGACGAGCCAACAGTTCAGGCTAAAGAGGCATGGATAGGGAATAACTATACGTGCCTTAACCTTATCTTGAATTGCTTGAGCGATGCCTTATATGCTGTTTATAGCAGGGCTGCATCCGCAAAGGAGTTATGGACTACACTGTCCAACAAATACCAGGCCGAGGACGCCGGTGCGAAGAAATTCGTAGTCGGTAAGGTCTTGGATTTCAAAATGGTGGATTCCAAACCCGTGGTCAGTCAAGCTGAAGAATTGATTCTCATTTTTAATGAGTGCACTGACGAGGGAATGGGAGTCAGTGAGGCATTCCAAGTGGCGGCGATTATTCATGTGCTCCCGCCGGCTTGGGATGAGTTTCGGAGCTATCTCAAGCTCAAACGGAAAGAAATGACTTTAGAACAGTTGCTTGTTCGTCTCCGGATCCGTGAAGAGGGTCTCACTCGCGAGAAAAAAGTAGTTGTTGCTAAGGCCAATGTGGTGGAGCATCCACCCAAAGAGGGTTCTTCCAAAGGGCCCAAGCCAAATAAGGACAAGAAGAAAATTGGTCCTAAAGGAGGCGTCGCGAAGCCCAAGTTCGCGGGGAAATGCTACAACTGTGGCATTACGGGCCACCGTTCTTCAGAGTGCCACAAGAAGCCTCAGAAGAAGAAGCAGAAGAAGGAAGAAGCTCTCTGCTCGGAGCTAGATGCTATGGATCTTTGTGCTGTCGTGACAGAGGTCAACCTGGTCGGGTCTAACCCGAAAGAGTGGTGGGTTGACACTGGAGCCACTCGTCATATCCGCTCCAATCGGGCCATGCTCTTTGACTTTAAGGAGACCTCTGGCGACAAGGTGTGGATGGGTAACTCCGCCCAATCCGAGGTTCAAGGCGTGGGCAAAGTTAAGCTCACGATGACATCCGGCAAGGAGCTCACGCTGAATGATGTGTTGTATGTGCCGGACATACGGAAAAACTTGGTGTCAGGTCACTATTGAACAAACATGGATTTCGCATGGTGTTCGAGTCTGATAAGCTGATCTTGTGCAAAAAGGGAATATTCATAGGCAAAGGTTATATTTCTGATGGGCTTTTTAAGCTTAATGTACTCACTGTTGTTGAGAAAATTAATAAAACTCATGTTGCCTATGTTTGTGAGTCCTCCAATGTGTGGCATAGAAGACTAGGACATGTTAATTATGCATCTCTTCGGAAATTAATTAACATGGAATATATTCCTAAGTTTGACATCGACCAGTCCGACAAATGCGAGACGTGTGTCGAAGCAAAGTCAACGCGAAGTTCGTTTCAAACAATTGAGCGAACCACTCAGCCACTGGATTTAATTCACACGGATATGTGTGATTTCAAATCAACGCCTTCAAGAGGTGGTAACAAATATGTTATCACTTTTGTCGATGATAGCACGAAAAACTGCTATATTTATTTACTTAAAAGTAAAGATGAGGCATTGGACACTTTCATTCGGTATAAGAATGAAGTAGAAAATCAACTCAATCGCAAAATTAAAGCGATTAGGAGTGATAGGGGCGGGGAGTACGAAGCTCCATTCGCCGAATTGTGTGCACAACAAGGGATTGTGCATCAAGTAACACCGCCATACACACCCCAATCAAATGGTGTGGCGGAACATAAAAATCGCACTCTCAAAGATATGATGAATGCGATGTTACTCAGTTCGGGGCTACCCCAAAATATGTGGGGGGGAGGCTATTTTATCTAGCAGTTATTTGTTAAATAAAATACTCCGAAAGAAACTCGATAAGACTCCTTATGACTTGTGGTATAATAGGAAACCTTCCTATAAATACCTAAAAGTGTGGGGGTGCCTTGCAAAAGTTTTAGCACCACCACCAAAGAAAATAAAGATTGGTCCAAAGACCGTTGATGGAATCTTTATTGGCTACAGTGGTAGCGCGTATCGATTCTTAGTGTATAGGTCTGATAATCTAGAAATACATAAGAACACGATAATGGAATCGAGGAATGCAACATTCTTCGAAAATATATTTCCGTTAAAGTTGAAGGAAGAAGCGAGTTCTTCCAAACGTTCACATGATGAAATGTTGAACGATGGTTCCTCGGATCAGTCTAATACCGGTATAATTGATGAAACCGAAACTGAGACTGAACTAAAACGAAGTAAAAGGACACAGAGTAAGAAGTCCTTTGGTAATGATTTTCTAACTTATTTGTTGGAATTTGAATCGGGGACTCTATCATTTCTGATAGAGACTGAACCCGATATTCTAACATGTTTATTAGAAAATGAACCACGAACTTATCGTGAAGCAGTGACTTCGTCTAAAGGCCCTCAGTGGAAAGAGGCAATTAAAAGTGAAGTTGATTCTATTATGCAGAATCACACTTGGGAGTTAGTGAATCTACCTCCTGGGTGCAAACCGTTAGGTTCTAAGTGGATCTTTCGGAGGAAAATGAAACCAGATGGTTCCATTGATAAGTACAAAGCCAGACTTGTAATTAAGGGTTACAATCCACGTGAGGGCTTTGATTATTTTGATACATATGCCACTGTGTCAAGGATAAATTCCATTAGGATGATACTTGCAATAGCTTCCTTACGGAACTTAGAAGTACATCAAATGGATGTGAAAACAGCTTTCCTTAATGGAGATCTAGAAGAAGAGATCTACATGGAACAACCAGAAGGGTTTATAGTTCCTGGTCAAGAAAGGAAAGTTTGTAAACTCGTTAAGTCATTATATGGTCTTAAACAGGCGCCAAAAGTATGGCATGAGAAGTTTGACCAGGTAATGATGAACTCTGGGTTCAAAATTAATGAATCAGACAAGTGTGTTTATCTAAAAAACACATCCCAAGGGTATGTCATGTTGTGTCTATATGTAGACGACATACTCATAGTTGGTAGNGATGACAAGATGGTCAAGTCTACCAAAGACATGTTAAACTCGCGATTTGACATGAAAGATATGGGTCTGGCTGAAGTAATTCTTGGAATTAAAATTGTGAGAAGACCTGGGGGTCTAGCACTGAGCCAATCCCATTATATTGATAAAATCCTTGACAAGTTCAACAAGGATGACGTTCGAGTGGCAAAGACGCCGTTGGACGTCAATGCACACCTGGCTAAAAACCGAGGTTCCACTAACTCTCAAATCAAGTATGCGAGAGTTATTGGAAGTTTGATATATCTAATGAGTTGCACTCGACCAGATTTAGCCTGTGCCATAAGTAAGCTGAGTAAATACACCAGCAATCCGAGTGATGAGCACTGGAAGGCTATTGTACGTGTGATGAGATACCTGCGGTATACACGTGACTATAGATTATGTTACTCGAGATATCCACCAGTATTGGAACGATACTCGGATGCAAATTGGATATCTGATAGTAAAGACTTGAAGTCCACAAGTGGATATGTCTTTACGCTAGCGGGTGCAGCAATATCTTGGAAATCCTCAAAGCAAACATTGATTTCTAGGTCCACTATGGAGTCTGAGTTTATAGCTCTAGACAAATGTGGAGAGGAAGCTGAATGGCTACGCCACTTCCTAGAGGACATTCCAAGATGGGATAAATCGGTCCCACCAGTTTGCATCTATTGTGATTGTCAATCAGCAATAGGACGTGCAAAGAATAATATGTATAATGGTAAGTCTAGACATATTCGTCGTAGACACAAAACCATTAGACAACTTCTCACAACTGGGATTATCACAATTGACTATGTGAAGTCAAAAGATAATCAGGCGGATCCGCTAACCAAAGAGTTAACAAATGAGTTGCATGAGAAGTTGGTGGCAGGAATGGGTTTGAAGCCCTTGTGCTAGGACTGTCCTATGAAGGAAAACCCAACCTGGATGGTACCCAGGTTCAATGGGACAACATACTTGTAGGATAAAGCGAGGTCACTGTGGGGGCGGTACCGGAACCTTCGGTCAGTCCCTTCTGTTCCTGCTGAAGACAGTGACTCCCGAAAATGATGAGGTTAGCATATAAATATGCTTTAATGATTCTTAACCAATAGACACGCTGGTCTAAGGGGAGTAATCGGGATACTCTTAAAGAATCACTTGTGTAAGAGTGAAGTGTGGTCGCTTCAAACGGAGGATCTTGGGCTTAATCCTCTAAACACTCTCGCAGAACCAGGCGCGTGTCCCACAACCAAAATGGGCACAACCATGAGAACAGAACGGTGTTTGGTTGGAATCTGTGTATGGTATACTATCGTTTACACAAGCGGTAGTACAGTTCAAAGACATCGCGTTCTACTGAACAGCCAGTAAAGAAGGTATACTTTACAAGGGACAGGTTCAAAAGTGGAGACACTTACCTGTTCTTTGCATGTTTTCAATCATGGGATGTTGTCGACCCCCTTAAATCAATTTTTCATTCATGTGGGGGATTGTTGGAATTTTTGGCATTTTAATAGGCATTAAATGGACCAACTAGGGTATATTTGTCAATAGGTCCACTAACGGTTTTAACCGTTAATTAATGGACGTGTTTTATCTTAAATGAGATAAATGTTTTGACAAATATTACGCCAAAAATGGTAGAGGGTGAATGAGAAATTGATTCTCAGATTTAACCCGTTAATAAAAGAATATGGTGAGGATTGCAATTTTTGCAATTTTACTAAACCAATCTTCTTTTATTAATATTACGTATTGTTTAAAATTACTCCATTTTTACGGAGTTAACTGGCCATTAATCTCCAATTATTCGGGACAAATTTTAAACGGAGCGTAGCGTAACGGACGTGTTAATGGCTAATTAATCACCATTAACACACCACAAATGCCATGTTTAATACTAAGTCTTAATGGTGTGTAGGTTACACCTTTTAAAATAAATTAGTTATAAAGGTAAAAGGCTCTCTCCATTTTGTTTTGTGTGCTTCACGTGAGAAACAAAAGAGAAAACAAAGGAAATCTTTCTTGTTTATTTTTGAGAGAGCTCTTGGTTTTCCGGCCAAATTTCCGGCCATTCCCTTAAAGTTTTTTTTTGGTCGCCAACATTCCTACGTTGTTCTTGTTCGTTGGTCTGTGGTTGGTCCGTACAATCTCCACACACGATAGCGGTTTTATCTTGGGAGGAGAGTGCCCACGTTTTTCCAGTACGGTAGGCGGGCACTACTACCTTAAGGACAGCTCCGGCGACTCCGCTGTCCTTCCACGGTGTTGTGTTTTGCAGGTTCAGTTCATAAAGACCTCGCTGCATTTTGTCCTTGTGCATAATGTCCTCGCAGCCCAGTGCATAATGTCCTCGCAGCCCTGTGCATAACGTCCTTGAATCGCTGTCCAGTGCTTAAAGACCTCGCTGTCCAGTGCTTAAAGACCTCGCTATCCAGTGCTTAAAGACCTCGTTGTCCAGTGCTTAACGTCCTCACTGTCCAGTCCTTAATGTCCTCGTACAACAAGGCCATTTGAAGATATAGCAATTTATTTTCAACTTTGTTTTTTGTAATATTCTGAATAAATTATAAATTCAGAATTTTATTTATTTTTATTTTCCGGGGCCGTTCATCTTCCCCGTCCGTTGTAATCCGTACAAGAATTGTAACATATGATTCACTCTTAATATCATTGTTTCCCCAAGTTTTTAAGTTAAATTACCATTTCTACTATTCTTATCTAATATCGATCTTGGGATTTATAATATTTTTAATGTTAGATGAGTCTGGGCTATATATTAATAGCCATTGTTGTATTTTAATCCTTGAATTGCTACTCCTATAATTTAGGGTTCTCACATTGGTCGGATTTACCTGACTTTGATGATATTTATTCAATCTCTGGTAGTGATTAAGGTATTGGAAGCAAACATGCTATATCTGCCATTCGAGGATCAATGTTTTGATGTAATAGTAGATAAAGGAACAATGGTTAGATTCTCTATTCAAATTTGCAGAAGTATTCTCAAATCCTTTTCACTCGTAAAGGTGCTCCATTTCTGTCAGTTTTAATTTTACTCTATGTTGTGTTAGTTGTAACATTCTTTTCACTTTGCTTATTAGGGTTCTCACATTGGTCAGATTTACCTGACTTTGAAGGTATTCTTTCAATCTCTGGCAGTGATTAAGGTGCTGGAAGCAAACATGCTACATCTGCCATTCGAGGATCAATGTTTTGATGTAATAGTAGATAAGAGAACAATGGTTAGACTTCATTATTTCTTACAACCTATTTTTCTATTTCAGATTCTTTTTCATTCAACCATTCAACTCTTGAAGTATATAATATTATTTTTTAGAAAGGTAGAGATCAATAAATTTGATGGCGTTTCTGTTTGAAATGGGTATTCAAGTAATCATAAGTTTAGTGGAAAGAAAAATGAAAAAATAACCAAGTAAAAGAATACAGAAAATCATACATTCTCAACCTATTAAGCACGTAGAGTTATCGCCCCACTGGGTTCAAACCTGTGACCTCCCACATTGGGGAGCCACCATGATGGCGCTTGACCACAAGGTCTTTGGTATAAGCTTAGGATATTAATTTTATTACAGCTGGCAATTGCTATTAGGCCAACTAGATATTCACCCTAACCCATTTTTGAGCTGCTGGTTTTAATTTTGAGAGTAAGCTCAGATCAAGGCTACTTATGCCTTCATTATTTAACGCCACTTTTGTTTATCTATCCTTTTCGCTATCATGTCATTTATTATGTATCCAATTCAAGTTCATTGTATTCATTAATGATTAGTAGATATACTACATATCCTGGCCTTTGTCAAGTATTGGTTTAGTTCTTATTGGTTGTTAATTAATGATTTGTTTCTTAGGATTTTTTAATCATAGGTTTGGTGGTTCAGTTTTGGGGGGTTTTGCACTGTTCGCAGTGTTTGTTGGCAGTTGCAATAGTTGACTGTCTGCTTCTCTTACAGCTTCAGCTATCTTTGAAGGAATTTTAGTGTGTCTTCAATCTTGATATTAAGCTCTATTCAAATTTGCAGAAGTATTCTCAAATCTTTTTCCTCTGTAAAGGTGCTCCATTTCTGTCAGTTTTATTTTTACACTATGTTGTGTTAGTTAATGTAACATTATTTTTGCTTTGCTTCTTTGCTCTCATAGGTGTTAATAACCATGTTTATGACTCTCCTAGCTTCCTCTTTCCTTTTCATCTCTTTCGCTGCTTTAAAAATCCCATCTGTGACTGGAGCAATCTATCATTGAAGTATTTCACTACCGATACAGGAAGTAGTATTCAAATTTTTATTAAGTTTTGAGAAACTTATGTATATTCTTCTTAATACTATAATTGAGTCTTATGTTCAGTTCTACCTTGATGTCATGGAAATGGGAAAATGATATGGCTCTCCTTATTTTTATTATAAAATGTAAAAGCCCTGCATTTTTTCTTTCTCCTCTTCTTAGAACTCAATTTTATATCATTTATTTATAGGTTTTGGTCATAGCATTTTTATTAAGGGTAATCATGGAAAGATGATTTTCCATACTTCACGTGAATCGTGAAAGTTTTGCCTTGGTGTTTGTATGTTGTGTGATATTAGATCATTTATTATGTACTTGTCCTACTAAATAAATCATTCACATGTTCAGCTCCTTCTGTCCATAATTCAGTTCTTTACCACAGTTGGAAGGTCTTACACTTTTGCTTATAGGTATTACCCTGAATCAAGTGTGGTCTCTGCCAGAAGTATCTACGTCTATTGGGCTTCATGTGGTAGTAGAAGCCTATCTATATGCACTGGTTTTTTAAGTAATTGTACACCATTTGAATCCTATATAAGATATAAATGAGAGGGAGGGTTTAATCCCCCTGCCAACGTGAATTTTTTTGTTACTAAACATTTTAATCTGCGGTGGGAGGATTGCATGGTTTTTTCTGACTATATTACCCTTACACTGTCCAAAATCCAGTCTCATTTATTTACTCACACATTGACCCTTAACCAGTAATATGGTTGGCATATAGGGAAATTGAAAACTCTTGGAGTGGGTGAAAGTGGCCTTTGGGTTGCTCTCTTCCATAATATTTACAGCATTAATGAAGCCATCTTAAATTTTCAGGTCACTTTGTACATGTATTTGTATTATTAGGAATGATTAGCTAGGAGAATTGATGTTTTGTGGCCCGTTTCTTTGGACAACCATTATTACAAAAGGCAAAAGCATGTTTCAAACATTTAATCTTTAACCTTTTAGTTAGCTATGAGATATGTATGTTATATTCTATGAGGTGTGGATGCATTGTGATTGATGTTTTGGTGATGCCAAAACGGCTTCCCATTGTTAAGTTTTCAGCTTTTAAATTGGGAAACATTATGAGTGTTGAATGCATAGTAAATTGTGATTGATATATTTGGATGGTGGAATTGTCCAGATTATGTCAAGAGTACTTCCATTTTTTCAAGTTTGAACTTTTAAATTTAGAAACACTATTTGAGATCTATCATTGCTTAGGAGATAAATTTGGTAAGTTTGTGTGCTTTGCTTCAGCTTTGGTTTAAAATTTGAGTGTAGATATGTAATGTATATTCTGTGTGCATGAGAGTTTATTCTAGATCATATATCTCAACATGGTTAAGCCTTTAGACTCTTTTTTTGTGATAAATGGATTTGCAAAATAAAAATGTTTAGAGGGCGTGAAGTAAGCTCCGCATCAAAAGGTAATCAAATAATAATCTGAATTTTTATTTGGCTAAAGATAAATCTAAATGGAAATGTTGAGATTAATGTGTCCCTTTATTTGGTTACTGTCTTCAATTAGGAATTTGTTAATGAAATATAGTATATGTGTAGGTTGTATTATATGTTTAGTTGGTTATCTATGTGTAAACGACTATATACTATGTTTTGTAATGTTCATTTTATTTCCAGTGGCAGTGAAAGACTGGAATATAAGCTCGATAAATTATGCATGAAGTTTTTTTAAGTGTTCTGGTTTGACATGTATTTATGCTGATGCATATTTTATATTGAGTTCTTTAGATGACAAATGAAAGGACTGCTGGGTTCCTGTGTCTAGAAGAAATATGAAAGTATGGCTGGAGAATGGAACCACACATCTGATCAAATGGAATGCAGACCAAAATGACAGAGGTGAAACTTATTTGTCTAGCCAAATTTCCTTAAAGCTTTTGAATTGCATTCAAATAATTAGTATATTTTCTAATGTAGAAAATCTTAAATAGTGTGCAAGTATTCAGAACAATGAAAACTATAGATTTATGCCATTTTTGCTCACATTTTTATATTATTTTTTGGTTGGTGGTCCAGTAGTCTTTTGTGTTTTTTTTTGTTTTGCCTCTCTTCTTTTTTGATCTCTTAAGAGTAATTATTTCTATTACTTCAGTTATTTTACCTCTCTTATTTTTATTATTTTTTTTTCTTTTTTTATGCTGATGCATATTTTATATTGAGTTCTTTAGATGACAAATGGAAATACTAACGGGTTCCCTGTGACTAGAAGAAATATGAAAGTATAGCTGGAGAATGGAACCACACATCTGCTAAATGGAATGGAGACCAAAATGACAGAGGTGAAACTTATTTGTCTAGCCAAATTTGCCTAAAGCTTTTGAATTGCATTCAAATAATTAGTATATTTTTTAATCTATAATTTTTTAAATAATGTGCAAGTATTCAGAACAATGAAGACTAGATTTATGCCATTTCTGCTCACATTTTTATATTATTTTTTGGTTGGTGGTCCAGTACTTTTGTGATTTTTTTCTATTTTACCTCTCTTCTTTTTTGATCTCTTAAGAGTAATTATTTTTATAACTTGAATTAATTTACCTCTCTTATTTTTATTATTTTTTGACATGTTTTTATGGTGATGCATGTTTTATATTGAGTTCTTTAGATGACACTTGAAAGGACTTCCTTGTGATTAGAAGAAATATGAAAGTATGGCTGGAGAATGGAACCACACTATCTGATAAATGGAATGGAGACAAGTTTTCTATTTTACCTCTCTTCTTTTTTGATCTCTTAAGAGTAAATATTTTTATTACTTCAATTGTTTTACCTCCTCTTATTTTAACTATTTTTTGAGATGTTTTTATGTTGATGTATATTTTATATTGAGTTCCTTAGATGACAAATGGAAAGACTAATTGTGATTAGAAGAAATATGAAAGTATGGCTGAAGAATGGAACCACACATCTCCTAAAAGTACCTCTCCTGTAATAATTGTAATCTTAATGGACATTTTTTGTGAAGTGCAATTGTTTATTATGATATCACTCTATATTTAAATTTTTTAAAGCTATACTCTCTATATAGTTTTCAGTGAGTTTTTTTGGCAGGATTATATAGAAGATTTTCTTTGGTAGAATGCATAGTGGATACATGCTTTGTACAATGCTGATCAGGTATGCAGCCATTGATTTGGTATTAATAAATGTCAAATTAAATTAATTATAATAGGAATATATTAATTAGAGATAGTGGCTACCAATATTTACGTTATTGCACCAATAAGTCTCAATTTATATCTACTTAATTTGATGTCAGTTTTTTCCCAATTTAAATCTTTCCTGATTAACGATAATGACTACTACCTTTCAAACAATTCTCATCTTCCTATAAATACACACTCACAAGTTCTTGCTTGCTTATTTACATACCACCAAAGCTTTATTCAATGATAATGCAAACAAGGCAAATGTTTCAATTTTGTGTGTTTTGAAAACTCCTTTTAACACGTAGGAGATATTTTCTTCTTATTGGAATTTTGGTTAAACTAATTATATGTTCATTACTTTCTTCATTGATGTATTGTTTCCTTATTTTTACCGTACAACTAAAGACTCATCAAGGGATTACTTTGAAGACCGAGCTTTAAACCTGCTAACCAAAGTAGCATACCCTCCGTGAGAAAAGGGGATAATACGTTATTTTTCATTTCACTTTGTTTCATTTTCAGTTGGTTCTAATTTTCCAGTGTCGTTTCTTCTAGAAGTTTTTTCAACCTTCGAGGTTGTTCGTGTTTACAGAGTATTAATTCTTTAGGGGAATACAAAATGGAAAAATTGAACCACTAACTCTTGAATTCATTAAGAGAGTCCCCGCTAGGTGTGTTGGGAATTAAACATATATACAACACACACAAATAATCTGCGAGAATCAAGAGAGAAACGGAACACGGACGACACACAAGAATTTAACGTGGTTCGGTTTCCCTAATCCACGGCTGCAACACGAGGATTCTATTTCACTTGTCGTGTCTCACGGAATTACAATTACAAAGACGAATATATATAGGAGAAAAAACCTAGGGTTACTAAACATGGGCCGGGCCTACAAGTCAAGCCCAAGCCTCCTGACAGTTGTAATTTTTCGGGTAGTAAACCTTTCCAGTAAAGGGTTAGTTTTCTCTCCGAGTGTCGTGTCTCTCGAGGAGTGGACGAAGGGAATTAGTTTAATTACTCTGACTAGGCCTTCTAATCCTAACCAAATACTTTCAGAAGAGCTTTGCTAATATTTTCCTCGCCTCATTATTATTTAATTCAAATGTATCATATTCATATCTAGACCCGGATCCCAGTCCTGTAGATTTAGATCTATTTTATCATATTAAATCAACAATTGGAATAATAATATTTCTATTACTACTCATCCATTTCTAGATTTGTACTTTATCTGTTGTACTTGAATATCGTAGCCCTTTTAGCATACAATATCTTCTCAATAAATAGCTAATTAAATCTTTCGAGAATAATTAACTAAATAAGGCAAGAACAGTAGATTAACCATTCCAACATTAATTTAACATAAAAAAAATAAACAACCAAACTAGTCCGGACCCAGAGATCCGGACCCTAACTCATACTATGCAAACATAAATTAAAATAGCATTTTATTAAATAAAGAAAACTTACAACTTCCGTAAGAGCAGAACAGAACTGATCGGGAGTAGAATTTCTCCAAAAATTACTCTAAAACTAATCAAATGCTAAACTAATATTTGGGACTGAAATATAAAGCTTAATTCCCGAAAATGGGAGTGAAAGTGATGATGTGGATGGGGAGAATCGCGCTGTATTTATAGGACAGAGGCCGAGGCGTCCAAGTCAAAGCGTCCAAGTCCAGGCGTCCAGATCGGGACGCTTGAGCTGCTCCGGCCAACCAGGTTTTGCCACGTGTCTTCCTTGGTCTGCAATCCAGCTAAGGCGTCCAACTCCAAGCGTCCAACTTGGCCAAGCGTCCAAGTTGGACGCCTTGAGGCCTTGGTCCGTAGGGCTTCGCGGCTGTTACGAGATCTTGGCCCAATTTCACTGATTTTCTGCCCGAATGTCGATTTTACCTTCTCGGAAGCTCGTTCAAGCCCGAAACTTGATCCTTTGATGATCTATTCCCTTTTTCTCAAGCATTTGAACATAAAATGGATTATTTTTGATGATTTTATGTGGAATCCCTATTTATGACTCTTAGAGCGAAAATGAGAGTTTTATCCATCGAAATCACATTTTAAGAGATAATTAAATATTATTTACGTGCAATAACGTTCAAATATGATGTAAATGATAATAACGAAACGGACTTATCACCTCCACAAACACAACATTCTCCCACTTGGAGGCTTGATAGTCATCAACTGCCATCCACCACGATTGCCTGTACATCGAGTAATCTTCCATAGCTCTCCTTTTGCAGCGGCCATATCATCAGACAACTGAAAGGCCCGTTGAAGCTCTCCCAAGCTCCAACACATCAGTCATGGCAAAATCTGCCCCTGACTCGTCCTCGGTCCCTACCGGCTCCCACTGCAGATGCACACTGCCGGATCCTAGAACATCCTGAGAACAAACACTCTCCGTACTCAGCAAGAAATTTTCTAGAGATATGTTCCAATAGCTGGAATACTTGTTCTCCTGACCCACTGTCTTCTAGGCAACTTGGCTGAAGCGCCTCTTGAGCTCCCACTGCCACAAATACCTCTGACTGGCCACCTTGAACCATTCCTCGCTCGTTCATCCTGAGTATGACCTGTGGCTCTAGGTTTCTCTCTTGCATAGACAACCTTATTCTGCCCATGAGACTCTGTGAACCGGACTTTGTTTCTATTCTGAACTGGGACGGTCACTCCCTCAGATGGTAACTCGACCATATACAATGAAGCACTCTTCCTTCCGCGGGCCATGACAATATTTCCCTTCACGACCTTCCACTGCCCATCTTTGAACTTCACCTCGTGTCCCTGTTCGTCCAACTGCCTGACAGAAATCAAACTTTTCTTCAAGGCGGGAACAACTCTCACATCCTTCAAAGTCCAGAAATTGACTGGGGTCTTCAGCACTATGTCACCCATGCCCGTCACATCAAGAGCACTGTCGTCCGCTAGTCGTACCTTTCCAAAGTCCCCAACAACTAGATTCTGCAATGCTTCACCGCTGTGGGTAGCATGAAATGAAGCACCAGAATCCATGATCCAGGAATGCACATTGCTTTCCTCACAGCAAGTCAGAGTGACCTCCTCGTCACTCATAGAGCCTTCAGCAATGTTCACTTTATTGTCATTCGGGCATTGATTCCTAAAATGCCCAACCTCCTTGCACTTCCAGCACGTTACACCTGAGTTGTCACGAGTCTTCGACTGACTCCTTTGTCTGTTCCTGCTCCCACTACCTCTGCTATTTCTTCTACCTCTACCAACATGAAGCAATTCACCAGATGACTCCCCTGAACTTTTTCTTCTGACATTCTCGCCAAGAACGAGATCTCGAATCTGATCAAAGGTGAATCCATGAGGTCCCACTGAACCGGTAACTGCAGTAACTGTTTCGGACCAACTATCATGTAAAGACGATAGTAGTAGTAAAGCTTGAACTTCATCATCAAACTTAATGCCCACTGACAAAAGTCTAACTAAGATCGAATTCAATTTGTTGATATGCTCGGTAACTGAAGTGCCTTCTTTCATCCTTGTGTTCACCAGCTCTCTTATCAGAAAAACTTTGTTCGCTGCAGATGGTTTCTCGTACATGTTAGACAGCGCTTCCATAATTCCCTTTGCTGTCTTCTCCTTCAAAATGTTGAATGCAACATTCTTGGTCAACGAGAGACGGATCACGGACATAGCTTTCCGATCCAAACCTGCCCAATCTGCATCCGACATCTTTTCTGGCTTGTCACCCAATACCACATCCAAATCTTTCTGAACCAGCAAATCTTCAATTTGCATTTCCACCAACTGAAATCTGTACCATCGAACTTTTCAATTCAGAACTTCTCGTCTTCTGCCATCTCAAATGACTAGACGAGATACCCAGTACAACTAATTTCAGATCTTGGTAATTTCGTCAGAAAATCAAACCCACCACACAAATTAAATATGTCCAAACCAAATCAGCCCAATATCCAGCTACAAGAAAAATTACGGCCCAAGAGGAAAAAGAATAGCCCACTAGCCCTTCTTTTCTCTTACCCTTTTTTTCTTTCTGCCGATGTGTACCTGCCAAATCCAAAGAAACCCTTTTTTTCTTTCGATCACGAGGCGGCGCCTGAATCTTCTGCGCGCGGCTAGCGGCGGCGGCTCGGACGGCGATGGCGACCAAGGGCGGCGGTTCAGGATCTGCAATCGATGGCGGCGGTGGCGGCTCCTCCACGCGGCGGCGGCTCCTTCTGCCACTGCTCCTGCGTGCGGCGGTCTGTACGCAAACGGCGGGACAAGAGAGAAACAGAATTAAACATAAAACACACACAAATAATCTGCGAGAATCAAGAGAGAAACGGAACACGGACGACACACAAGAATTTAACATGGTTCGGTTTCCCTAATCCACGGCTGCAATAGGAGGATTCTATTTTACTTGTCGTGTCTCACGGAATTACAAGTATAAAGACGAATATATATAGGAGAAAAAACCTAGGGTTACTAAACATTGGCTGGGCCTACAAGTCAAGCCCAAGCCTCCACAAACCCAACAAGGTGAGCAATTTTATTTATAAATAAGTGCAACAAATATGATATATTCACTGCACGTTTTTATTGTTATAATACTTTTTTTGGTACAAGACTCTGTGTTATATTAATAAATTAGTACATAAATATTAATGATTTTCACCAAAAAAATTAACATATATGTGCTATACTAACGTTTGAGCAACATTTGAGATTTCAGGATTGTTTTTCCCTTTTTCAGATATTTTCCCCTTTTCAAATTGATTTCACCACATAGTCACTTGTCATTAATATTTGTGTTCTTGAAGAAAACAGAGAAACAAAAAGGAACTTATCCATTTATTGTTCAGAGGTCAAGACTTAAGACATTGTCACCAATTTAGTTGTAGTGTGATTATTTAAATGCAGTACCATATTGTAACTTTCATTTTGTGCATATTTTATCATTATTCTTTTTATTCTCATCATATCTATAGCAAATTTATTCCCTTTTTTTACAAATAATAAGTAGATCCTCAATTCTTATGGTATTCGAAGTGTGTTGATATGTCTACTCTAAGTAGATATCATCATATAATATTTGAATTTCCTATTTACACAAAAAAAAGTAGTATCATTACCCACTGTATTTGAGTTGTTTGCTAATATATCCTTTTTGTTATTCAATTGGAACACTATTATAGACATTTTGTATGAATTGGAAAGTACCACCCATTATTATATATCAAACTCATTCTTATTCAATCTTTGGCAGCTTAATATAATCAAGTTCATTCTCATCATTGCCAACTTCATTTTTATATGACTTATTAAATGAATTAAAATATGCACTAATTCAACAACATTATTTCATATAAAAAATTTAAAAAAACTCACGTAAAATCATGATCGGGCACTAAAATCCGCGCAACGCGCGTATGGAAGCTAGTTATTATATAAACATGAAAGACGGTTAGGTACCCTTTAATAATATGATCTTTTTTCATCCAAAAAACTTGTACTTATGGCTTTAAAGGTTGTACCATGCAAATTACAACCGACTCTACCCTAACGCTTTTGAAACGCTGGCCACTTTGTAATTCCATAAAAAATTTATTTTAAAACTCAATCACCTCTAAATTGATACTCCCTCCGTCCCAAATTATTTGCCACATTTGCTTTTTCAACAGTCGTGGAAACTTTTGTTACATTTTCATTGGTTATTTGATAAAATAAAATATTCTTGACATCTCTTATTTCGAAGAGCTTTTCATGTAGTTTTTTGATATGTAAATTTTATTTTTTATTTCTTTACCAATATGTAAATAAAATAAATTGAAAAAACTTGATATTTTGCCTCAATAATAAAAATGTGACAAATAATTTGGGACGGAGGGAGTATGAATAATACGCACTAAGAGCATCTCCAGCGTAGAGGCTATATGCTAAAATTTACACAATTTACACTTTGTGGTTAATTTTTTGACACTCCAAGGGAGAGGGTAAAACAAATGCTAAAATACAATATAGGGTAAAATACAATTGGCAAAGTGTATATATACAATGTGGTTGTAGATAGGGACATGAATAAATGTGTAGTAGGGAGTAGATTATACAAAACATGGTTGGAGTAGGTATTAAAAAGTGGAAGTGTAAAATACTGGTGATAGTTTACACTACCAAGTTTTACACTATACATTTACATTGGAGATGAACACTGGCACATTGGCAAAAAGAGGTCATGCTCACATAGTATTGTTAGGGGTTAATCGGGGGTCTTATCAAGTTGCTAATTTTGTGGTGAATTTGTGGAGGAAATGAACACGGAAGTATATGGGGCGAAATATGGGAGGTGTTTTTGGAGTTCTTTTTGGTGTTTTTTTATGAAGAAAAAGAAGAGGTTTAGGAAGAGAATATGGGGAGGTATGAAATGGAAGAAAATCAGGGATGGATAAACCAAGTTGGTATTTAAGAGATATTACACTCTTATCCTAATTTGGGGTTTGAATCTAGAATTTAATTAAAATATGACACAATCAAATATCTAGAACCTAAAACTCACACTTAAGATAACCACTCTTAAGATATAGAATTAGGAATTTGGCTAAAATAGCATCACACTATTTTATAAATACTCGAAGAGTAAAAGAGAGTTTTTATATTCAAGGTTGTGTTTACAATGTCCATAGGGCCTGATTATATAGGGAGAGGGGAAGGGGAAAATACATAATACATTGAATGTGAACATGAGGAAGCTTTCTAGCAACATCCACTTCCAAAGCATGGGGTAACCTTCATTTAATCCTGTCTCCTTGGTGGACTAAAATCAGAGATGGGGCTGGGGTTTGTGGGGGTTTTGAGCTTTGGTTTGTAGTGGTTGTTTCTTGGGTTTTAAGGCTATTATTTGGGTAAATATGAGGGGTTGTGTTTGCTAATAAAAGGGGGCAGGGATGGGGGATATAATGGGTGGTTTTGGACTTATAAGTTTGGGTTATTTGTGAGGGAACATGAGCAGGAATGAGTGGCTAGTGGTGGGTCAGGGTTTTGGCTCTTTGTGGGTGTTTATGTTGGGATTGTGAAGTGTATTTTGGCCAGGGGATGAATGGAATAAAGGGAGGGTTTTATTTGTTTAATAAAAGGCTTAAAAGAAGGAAAATAACAACAAACAAACGGTTTTGGTTTGCACACTCTTATTTTCGGCCAGGGGCTAAAATAAGAGTAATAAAAACTTTATTATAAAATGAAATTAATGGCAAGGAGTTTTGGATATTTTGGGTTGGGTTGGACGGAGTGGGAGTCGGCATGTGGAACCCTTGGGTCCGAAGTTATTCTGGCCTCTTGGGTTGAAGGACTCGGAATTCTCACTAAAACGGACTCTACCCTAACGCTTTTGAAACGCTGGCCACTTTGTAATTCCATGTAAAATTTATTTTAAAACTCAATCACCTCTAAATTGATACTCCCTCCGTCCCAAATTATTTGCCACATTTGCTTTTTCAACCGTCGCGGAAACTTTTGTTTATTTCTACATTTTCATTGGTTATTTGATAAAATAAAATATTATTGACATCTCTTATTTCGAAGAGTTTTTCATGTAGTTTTTTTGATATGTAAATTTTATTTTTTATTTCTTTACCAATATGTAAATAAAATAAATTGAAAAAACTTGATATTTTGCCTCAATAATAAAAATGTGACAAATAATTTGGGATGGAGGGAGTATGAATAATACGCACTAAGAGCATCTCCAGCGTAGAGGCTATATGCTAAAATTTACACAATTTACACTTTGTGGTTAATTTTTTGACACTCCAAGGGAGAGGGTAAAACAAATGCTAAAATACAATATAGGGTAAAATACAATTGGCAAAATGTATATATACAATGTGGTTGTAGATAGGGACATGAATAAATGTGTAGTAGGGAGTAGATTAATCATAATTTTAAATCATAATTTTAAATCAAAGGGTATACACAACAAAAAATAAGGCATGGAACTCTTAAAATTTACGGTGTTAGTTTTTCGTGGCATATTTTTCATCCCAAACTTACAAAGCATAAGGGAGCAATGTGTGCTATATATTGATTCAAATAGAGACTAAACTCACAATAACTTAAAGGGGAATGGGCGATGGTTTGAGTGTACCAATACAATTATGGTCACATGGAAAAATCAGACTTGACCATTAGTGAAGATGAAACATATTCATTAGTTTGGTTGGTTCAAAGACCCAAAATAAGTGATATAATGTAATTCATACTTCCTCTGTCTCAAAATGAAGTTTACATTTTTCCTTTTTTGGTGTTATTCTTCAGATTATAGTTACGATATTAAATATAATAACCACAAAAGATCAGCTTTTCATTTCATAGCCTTGAAATCAGCTTTAATCCCCCCTCTTCATGAAATTAACAACCTACTTGGCTACTTCTCATGCCTTATATCTTATATCTGGACCCAATAGAAGCACACCATGACCGCAATAGAAGAACCATCGGCCCACTGGGGCAGAAATACTACCTGACCCAAACAGAAATACTAACTGGGGGCACACCATGAAATACTTAAATATGTAAAACACACTAAACGACACCATACTAACTGACCCAAACATTGACTTATTACCCATTTGGTTATATGTGTACAAACCTGATTAAATCACACCCCTAATCGTTGTTTGTTCTCACCAATCTTCACAGCAATGTTTGTTCATCATCATCTAGAATTAAATTTGCAATGTCTTCATTTTGATCCCATTTTGGACATTCATTCACAAAATGCCCAAGCTCATTGCACTTGAAACACCTAATGTGAATCTTATCCTGTTGAAACAAACCACAATTATGACCTTTCCCAGACCCCGACCTCTACCTCGGCCACGATACCACGTCCAAAGTTTTATCGGTTTGAGCTCTTTCCTCTGCTGGCTTTTTGATGCATTCCTTGAATGCTTTCAATCTTCTGTCTGCGTCATGAGATAACATTGTGTTAAGTTTGGCAAACTATTAGCTATTCTCCCTTGTAGTCACAATTAGTCTACTTTTGGTTGTCTTCCATTGCATGACTTTGATTCCTTTGATATTTTTCTCAAAATTCTTAGACTTTGATTCCTTCCCGAGTCGTAAGTCACCTGCAATTGACCTTCAACAAGAAAACAGCCCATGCTTTTTTGTCTTCCAAGCCGCTAAATGAAAGCTACCCCGCTGATTCGTTTTTTCTGCGCCTTTTGGTTGGAATACTTATTCCCAATAAAAAACTAGCAACTTGATGTTCTTTTTCTAGGTGAGGAAGAAATCTGGTCAGAGATTTTTGATCTATTGTCGAGGAAGTTGAAATGCTCTATTTTACGATCTGGCCAATCCCTTCTACTGTAGAATGCACACCCCCTGATTGCAAATCAGACCTGCTTCCTTTGATCATTGGGTTCTCATTGGATTGTCGCTCCGATACCAATTGTTAGACATGATCAAATCAAAGCAAAATAGAGTTTTTTTTTTTGTGTTGAACTTGTACATGATTCTTTGTGTTCTTGAATATAATTTGAGAAAAAACTGACACAACTTTTACAAACTACCCAACTATTTTTTAAAAGTTAATGAAATATGTAAAACACACTAAGGGCCTGTTCTCTTGGACTTAAACTCTTAACTTCTAGTTTTTTCCAGTTCCTTCCGGTTCTTTCCAGTTTCTTCCAGTTTCTTCCAGTTCCTTCCAGTTCCTTCCACTTTCTCCCAGTTCTTCCAGTTTTTTCCAGTTTCTTCTAGTTTTTTCCAGTTTCTTCCAGTTGCTTCGAGTTTCTTCCAGTTTCTTCCAATTTCTTCCAGTTTTTCTTGTTTTTTCCAATTTCTTCTAATTTCTTCCAACTATATTTATTTTCTTCAAATTCTTTCTACTTTCTGACAAATCACTCTAAAAACATATATTATTATTACTATTATTCTTACAGTTTTTTAATTACAACTTTTATGTTGATAACTATAGTTTATAAATTATTTCATTTTGTCATCTCACTATTTTTATGATTCATATTCATTATTTTTTTCTTCAACTTTTTAATATGAATAATACCATTTTTTTTGTATATTAATCTACAAGAAAAAATAGGAAACTATTTAAAAAATTATGGTTAAATAGTTATATACACCATCCGTCCCTAAATATTCACAACATTTGCTTTTTCAACCGTCGCGGGTACTTTTGTTTATTTCGATGTTTTCATTGATTATTTGATAAAATAAAATATTCTTGACACCTCTTATTTTGAAGACTTTTCATGTAGTTTTTTAATATGTAAATTTTATTTTTTAAAAGATATGGTTATACATTTATTTTACTTAACTTTTTTAAATTATAAAACGGAGCCCTTATGTTTACACCGTTTATTAAACCCTGCCTCCCTCATCTTATAAAAAATTAGATTTAAATATATTCCATTTGTAGTTATAAAATTAGATTTTATATCATGCTTCAATTAAGTTTAACTACATTGTAGAATATTAAGTGCTAGTTCATCTCTAATTTTTTTTAGACTATCTTTTTATGTATGAAAATAATATTCGTAATATTTTTTTTATTTTAAAGACAATCATTTAGATAACGTAATAACACCATCACTACCACCAGTCACCACCACCACCACCACCAACAACAACAACAACAACAATAATAATAATTATTGTTATAGCAATAATAATAATTTATATCAACAAGAATCAGAATGAGAATAATTTAAAACTACACATAAAAATTTTTAAAAACTTTTTTTAGATTTTACAATTTATTCTAGTTTTTTCAGTTTCTTTTAATTTTTTCCTGTTTTTCCAGTTTTTTACAGTTTCTTCCAGTTTCTTCCAGTTCCTTCCAATTTCTTCCAGTTCCTTCCAGTTTCTTCCAGTTCTTCCAGTTCCTTCCAGTTCCTTCCAGTTTCTTCCAGTTTTTTCAGTTTCTTCCAGTTTCTTCCAGTTTCCAGCTCTTTTTTTCCAGTCCTAAAGAACAGGCCCTAAATTTCTAGTGTAGGATGCCCACCCCCTGATTGCAAATCAGACCTACTTCCTTTGATCACTGGGTTCTCATTGGATTGTCGCTCCGATACCAATCGTTAGACATGATCAGATCAAATCAAAATAGAGTATTTTATTGTGTTAAACTTGTACAAGATTCTTTGTGTTCTTGAATATACATAGGGAAAAAACTGACATAACTTTTACAAACTACCAAACTATTTTTTAAAATTAATGAAATATGTAAAACACACTAAATGATACCATACTTACTCACCCAAACATTGACTCATTACCCATTTGATTATATGTGGACAAATCCAATTAAATCTAACATTGTAACATGGTTCAATTTGGTCCTTTGCTTATTTGGATATTTTGTACACTTAAGATATGATTAAAGCTACATGTTTTCATGTTTGTTCTGCCCATTCAAATTGCTGTGCGGATTCACTCTCCATGCTATTTACATTCTTCAGAGAAACATTTTGTATAAAAAACTAGAATATAAAAACCAAATGTATTAAAAATTAATCTACAATTTAGGGGAAAACATTTAAAAGTTAGTTTCAAAACATTAAGTTTAAAAAATCTGTCAAGTCTAATTATTAGATTATCTTTTGTTTTCCATTACATTGTTGTGCCATTAAATATAAACATGAAATCATGATAAACATGAAACAATAATGAGGGTTCTTACTAAAAAAACAGAGAAAGTTGGAAATATTGGGATAAAGTTTAATTGTAAAATAATTAAAAAAATGGTACCCCACGCTATGTAACTTGTACTATTGTCTCTTTTCCCTGATTTGGCTGCATGCCGTTTACTCGTGAAGATCGATCAAAGTATGGAATATATATAACAATGGGTACCGTGGGTGTAGACCGGAGATGCATTTTGGTCTTTTGGATTTTCATCTTTCCACGGGAATTGATAGCAATATATTTCCCTTACTGGTGCGTTTCTTATGCAGTCTTCGTCTCTCTCTTGCTTTACATTCTTCGTCCGTAACTGGTGTACTTTTTGATATCATCTGTATCCATATAAATAATTATCTGCATATTTTGTGGTTTAGATCTTTGGTGGAGGGTTTGCGGTTGAGTATTAGGATATTTGCATTGTAACCAAAGGACATTGGTGGAGGGTTAGTAATCAAGTTTTTTCCCAAAAGACAAAATCAAGATTTGAATAAACTAACTCTTCTTTTGTTCAGTCTAAGCTCATATCAATATGTGGTCTATAATCTATTATTGGAATCTATTAAGCTACTTCAAAAATGGTTTGAGTAAAGCAATTAAACTTAGATAATAATAAATCCTGATAGAAAGCTACTACAGCTGCTATGATCAATGTAGATTGCTCCCAACAGTGCTTACAAAATATCAAAATGTTTGGTGTAAATGTTTAGCCTTTGGTATAAATCTTTTGGAGATGACTAATTGTTGTCTTGATATTTCATGTTAAAATTGTTGCCTTAGAGTTTAATAAACCTTTCTTAATGATGGTTCCATCTGCATCTATAAGCATAATCGGTCCAAACCATAGTTAAACATTACCTTTGGGGTAATGGGAGACATGTATTTCTATTCTAAAGTAATGATCTTTATATTTTTGTGCAGGTGGAGCCGGGGGTCTCTTGGAAACAGCCTCCCTACTTCCGAGTAGGGGCAAGGTCTGCGTACACACACCCTCCCCAGACCCTACTGTTGTGGGATTCACCTGGGTTGTTGTTGTTGTTGATAAATCATTTAATTCTATTACACTTCCATATAATCTGATTTGAATTTGTTGGATAAGGATTATGGTTATAGATAATGATTCTTCAATGCTTCACTTTACAATTTTTTTTGATATATGCTCGGTATTCTCTTCAAAACATGTAAGAAGAAAAGCATGTTTGTACGTGTCACTTTTTGAAAATGCAAAGCAAGTGAAAGCTAGGTATCTAGGTATGCCTCAAAACCTTTAGGTCGTATTTGATAGTATAGGTCATCTTATTTCACTTATCAACATCATAAGTAGCTTTTGATTAATGCAGTTGGCTGAAATTGATGCAACCAAACACTTCTTTTTTTAAAACTGCTGGATTTTGCCAAAACTCACTTAACAAATTCACCCTTGATCTAATGAGCATTCATATTGTTTTATCCAAGAGTTTATTCATTACTTTCAATGCAGCACAAGCAGATGGAAGTGAAGACTTTATGGCCTTCTAGGTTGCTGATGGTATTCCTTGAGCACTCCATAACAAAGTATATCGTCTTATTCTCACATTACATAGTGAAATACAGTCTCAAACTGTAACTTAATAAGCATCTCCCTTATTCAATTAAAACTATAGAGAAATTTCCCTCTATTTATGGATGGGTGGTCACTGGATTCAAGGATGAACTACCAGTTGTTACACGCATCACTTCCCCCGTCAAATGAACAGGTTCAGCGACTTCATATAATGTTCGTAATAGATTGAACAATAGAACGTATTTTAAAATTGATCTTCTTCTGACCAGGTTCGTGAATTTATGGTTTTCAAAATTCACAATGGTGCCCAATCTATGAGGACGACTCCCTTCGACTCTAGCTCCGGTTTATTATAGTTTTGATTTAGTAAGGACATCCATATAAGTTTTTTACATTCAAAGGTGCATACATTAATCTACGTCATGCACTTGATCCGTCTTGAAATAAATTTTACTTTTAGTATTTCCACAATTACACGCTTTAAGTTTATCCTCTTTCCAAACCTATTTTTGTTAATCATTTGTTCAAAGAAAATTCTCATATCATCTCTTGTGCTATAGACCTTTTGATATAGTTCTAAAATATTCGGTGTTAACACTTTTTATGTTTTCATCATGCACCAATAATTAGATATATGGCATTTAAGATAAATTTGATCAAACACTGTATACCATTTTTGCAACTTTATTAAGGAATACCGAGAGTATTTTGTTAGCAGAAGATGCTTTTTGTATACCGTTTTTGCAACGTTTAGCAGAAGATGCTTTTTGTTGTTATAGTGCAGTTCTTTTACTGTGCAGGCCTCACAAATAACATAGAGACTTAGTTGGCCTATTATATGCACCTATCATGTTCGGACCATTTTATTTGTTTGGTGGTACTAGGTTTTTAGATGATCTTCTTTCAAGGCTTACACTTTCTTCCAGAGGACTAAATACGGCTTCTGGAGTTGTTGCCATTACCTTTAATTTTTTGGTTGTTTTATGAAACTTTGAATGAGGAAGTATTAGATTTCTATTTTTTTTAAATAAATATACAATTATTGAGACTAATTGTCTTGTAGAATATCTAAAACTAAAGACATATTGATATATTACAATCTTTTTTCAAAACTATACTACACAAAACAAATTATACCAAGACAAAAAACTAAACCCTCAAATTTTTGCACAAATTCGGAATCGGGCATCACATACCGCGCAATGCGCGTACCATTGCTAGTGTGTGTGTGTGTATATATATATATATATATATATCTTACATCTTACATATCTTATAAATGTCTACAAAAGTTAGGTACCCTTAAATTAATTTGTAGTTTTTCCGTCCAAAAAAAATGTACCGAACACTTCTTATGTACGTAGCCTTTTCAATCGCAAACTACCTTACGGCGTTACTTATTGCTCCTCTCATAATCGCGAATCCCCATTCCCCTGTACGGTGATTTCCTCTTCTCCAGCATTCATACCTTCCCGGTGAATTAGACGTAATTTTCGCCTGTCCCTCAGCAATGGATTACAATCCTTGGGCGATTCAAACTGTTAGCATAATCAACCTCAGATTTCCAGATTCTAGGCGTTGCGTATCAGATGTGCAGATTTCCCGGTATGAATGAAACGTTTTCTCTGATTCCTTGTCTTGTATTTATGGATCCTTCCCTTAATAATCCCCTGCCAATTATTTCAGCATGTACGTTGGGCTATTAATATTCGATTTTGGGAGATGGGATGAGACACCATCTCCAAGATTCCTCCTAGGTATAATCTTATGAGTTCTTTGGCTTGTTCTTCTCTTTGTTGTTTCTTTCTATTACTGAAAGAAGGGTCATTTTTCACCTACAGGTAGGGCAGAACCTGCAACAGTTTGGAAAATTATTCTTCAGGTAATTTAAATTCCATGTATTCAAGAGTGCTCAAATTCAGATGTGTATTCTGCTCACATTACTTCCTTTGAACATTCTGCATAATAACTTGCAAGCTTGTGACTATAAAGAATACTTTTTTAGCAGTTTTTAAATTATGACCTGTTTTTTACGTCTTTGCAATCCTGTTTGAAACTGAAAAATGAGAGGTATGCCATGTGATTTTTTCAATTTCAAGGCTATAAAGTAAGGAGTGAGTGTTGGACTCTGGTTAAGGTTAGGAGTGAGTGTTGGACTCTTGAAATCCATTATGCAAATGGGTTAGAATGGTTGGGTATACACAATTCTTTTCCCACATTTCCTGAACCTAAAACAAGATAACTTACAATTTAACATCAATTTTTCAAAGTTGGGAGATTTAAAGTATTCTATGTTTCTTATGGATTTGAATTGTTTTGTTCGTTAGACTTGGATATAATGACCATATCACATTTAAAAATATTCAACTAGCATGTTTAGAGATGTGAAAAAAAATACAGAGTAACAATTTCAAACTGCTCTTTAGAATGTATAAAATTCCAAGTTGTAAATTTTAAACTCTAAAGCATCTAAAGAATAGGACAATCTGGTTTATTCAAATATGAGAGCTGTGCCATTTGATTTTTTAAATTTCAAGGCTATAAATTAAGGAGTGAGTGATGGACTCTTGAAATCCATTATGCTAATGGATTACAATGGTTGGGTGTACACAATTCTTTTCCCAGATTTTGCAGTGAATGTATTACCACGGAATCATTGTTTTATCATTAGTTTTTTATTAAATTGCTAATACTAAAACTGACAGAGTGTGCATACCTTTTATAAAAGTCTCATCCATATTCAGACCAATTAAATAAAATGCCAACTTAAGGCTTCAATTCATCTTCACATTCAGGGGGTACGTCCCTCCAATGTGCTCATTGCATAACTTGCATTTCTTGATTCTGTTGCCAAATCAATCCCAAAAACTGCTTAGAGTTCTGTCCGATGTGCTACAGATTTTTAGACTCAAAATCTGGCCAGAATTCTTCCCCGGGCTACAAAAACTTTGCACAAACATCCATAAAGGATTGCTCAGTCCCTGTAGTTGGTGTAAAGTTCAACCTTATACTGCCCAAAATAAGGCCCGAAATCCAAACCAAGAAACAAAATCCCAACCCAAACCCTAACGCAGAAACCAAAACTCTAACCCAAACCTAGAACTTAAGCTTAAATAACCAGACCCATAAGGGTGTGTTTGTTCCATTACAAACACACTGTGTTTGAACTCCATTTATCGGTTACAAAATCTAAAATCCTAAATCATTTTCCGTTCTGAACTATGTTTAACTGTTAATTTTCAATTTATTTCTTCATATTAGGTTGTGGTGTAATACCCTGGTTCACAATATGTGTCTTCCTTGAACGATCTATTAATATTAATTTTAGTGACCCGACAGCCCAGATAGAAAACCACAAAACCCCGACCCAAAAACAGATCCAAACTCTAAACCGAAAAGTCAAAACCCAACCTTAAAACGAGTCCGAAGAACCAGCACCAAAAACCAGTCCTAAATGCAAAAGCCAAAGCCAAAACAGAAAGGTAAATTGTTCCAATCCATGTGTTTCACTGTCACTCAATATCCTCCTTGCCAGCAACCTACTTTAACTAATGGAGAAAGTAAAATCATGATCCAAACCCAGCTCTGATGTACCAAAGCCTAAAATGCAGATCTAAACCCAAAACCCACTCCCCAAAATCAATTTTTTTTCTTTTGGTGTATATGATTCCCACCGGCTGCCGTGGCAGATCCATTACCACCCACAGCAGAATTAGTTGCACTTGAAGGCACATGCGACCGGGCAATGGCTGCAGTGGACGTTGCAGCACCCCACCAGGCAGAGGAGCAGCTTGGTGCTGGTTCAAAGGAATGATGTATGTGTGTCCGGGCTACAAACAAAGAAACAAACCAAGACATCCTCAAGTTTAATCCACATTTTTTAAGAAGGGTGGTAGTAATAAACAAAAGAAAAACACCATAATAATCTGAAATATAACAGTTGAAAGGCACACCAATACCAGTAGACTATTGGTTGCAACAGGGGGTGGTAATGGTTGCTGCAAAAGAATATGCTGGTTTCTCTGGACGGGATCTGGAATGCTGGATGCTTGAAAGCATTTGTCTTTGCTGCCAAGACCAGGGAAGATGGCAAGTCCATGCCCCTTATCCAGCCCCGTACTTCCACCCTTCCCAACAATGTTTCCATTAAACTCAGCTGCAGGCACTGTCACTCAATATCCTCCTAGCTAGCAACCTACTTTTACTAATGGAGAAAGTAAAATCATGATCCAAACCCAGCTCTGATCTACCAAAGCCTAAAATGCAGATCTAAACCCAAAACCCACTCCCAAAAAACAAAAACTCTAACCCAAACCTAGAGCCTAACCCCGAGTAACCAAACCGAGACTCAAGACTTAAAACCTGTAAACTAGAAGTAAAAGCATACCAAAGAGTAAACCTCTAACCAACACTTTTTGTTTTTTCATTTTTTGGGATATGGGATGAGGCACCATCTCCAGGTTTCCTCCTAGGTTTGATTATATGAGTTATTTGCCTTGTTCTTGTCTTTGTTTCTATCATTGCAACTAAACGATCATTTTACATATAATAATCTAAAAGGTTATTCAAATTTTATAAAACTATTTTTTATAAATGATTTTAGTTATGGAGACACGAATGATCAGTGGAATAAATGACAACAAAAAGGAATGGACATGTAAGGTTAGAGTTGTGGAGAAATGGAACATCAAAGACTCAAGGACGAGCCCTAACAAGTACAGACCTTTTATATTGCAGGATGAGGAGGTAAGTTTATAAAGCTTATAAAATAATCAATCTTAAAGCGTACATATTACTTGCATTAATTGTGTTCCATTCAACCATTTCCGTACAGGGTACCAAGGTTCTTGCTCTTGCAAATAGTGGTGACATTGAACAAATTGATAAGATACTCGACCTCAAAAACGCTCTTCCAAGGTGACACCTTCAGAAAAACCTTATCCCCGACTGCATACTCGATGTCACGCCTCTTAAGGTCGGCATAGGACTTCTGCCGGTCCGAAGCCACCTTAAGTCGGTCTTTAATCACCAGGACCTTCTCCTCGGTCTCACGAACCAAATCTGGTCCCTCCAATCTCCTCTCACTGAGCTCTGTCAAGCATGTAGGAGTACGATAGGGTCTACCGTACAGAGCCTCATACGGAGCCATACCAATGCTTGCCTGGTGACTGTTGTTGTATGCAAACTCCATGAGTGGCAGGTATTGCTCCCAACCATCCCCGAAGTCGATTGCACACGCACACATCATATCCTCGAGAATCTGAATCACCTTCTCCGACTGACCATCTGTCTGAGGGTGGAACGCCGTACTAAAGTGGAGATCGGAGCCCAATGCCCTCTGTAGGCTCTTCCAAAATTGCGATGTGAATCGAGGATCACGATCTGAAATGATGGATGACGGAACTCCATGTAGCCTGATAATCTCGCGGATGTACAACTCCGCTAAACGCTGAAGTGAAAAGTCACGACGAATGGGGAAAAAATGAGCTGATTTGGTCAACCGATCAACAATGACCCAAACTGTGTTGTGCTTACGTGGTGATAATGGCAGTCCCACAACGAAATCCATCGTGATACGATCCCACTTCCACTCGGGAATAGTGATCTGCTGGAGTAATCCTGACGGAACTCGATGCTCGGCCTTGACCTGCTGACAAGTTAAGCACCGCGATGTGAACTCCGTAATCTCCCGCTTCATCGCGGGCCACCAATAATGTCTCCTAAGATCCTGGAACATCTTGTTACTGCCCGGGTGCATGGTATACACGGTGTTGTGTGCTTCGCGAAGCAGGCGTTCTCTCACCTCCCCCGCTGGCACAACCATACGCTCCCGATAGTACAAGATACCATCCCGAACTCCGAAATCTGGCTTCTCTCCTCGAGAGACGAGCTCAACGGTCTGGATGCAGAAATCATCGATGCTCTGGGCCGAGGCTATCTGCTGCCGTAATGTAGGCTGGACACGCAACACAGCTAGAGTCTTACGACTAAGGGCATCGGCTACCACATTTGCCTTACCTGGGTGGTAGGCGATGTGGCAGTCGTAATCCTTAATCAACTACAACCATATTCTCTGTCGGAGATTCAGATCCTTCTGCGTCAACAAGTACTGAAGACTCTTATGGTCGGTGAAGATCCGTGTCGTCTCACCGTAGAGGTAATGCCTCCAGATCTTTAAGGCAAGTACAATGGCTGCTAGCTCAAGGTCGTGCGTCGGATAGTTACACTCATGTGGCTTCAATTGCTGAGATGTATAAGCAACGACCTTGCCCTCCTGCATGAGGACACACCCCAAACCGTTATGGGACGCGTCGCTGGAAACCGTATACTCCATTCCTGGAGTGGGCTGGACTAGGACCGGTGCCTGGGTCAGACACTCCTTCAGCTGCTCGAAACTCCGCTGACAGGCGTCAGTCCAAACGAACTTAACGTCCTTCCTCATCAGCTTGTGCAACGGCGATGCTATTTTGGAGAAGTCCTTCACGAACCGACGATAGTAGCCCGCCAGTCCGAGAAAGCTTCTCACCTCACGTGCATTCCGCGGAGTCTTCCACTCCGTGACCGCTGCTATCTTACACGGGTCTACCTTCACCCCTTCGACTGAGATGATATGACTGAGGAAGGTAACCTCGTGCAACCAGAACTCGCACTTGGACAGCTTGGCATAAAGCTGCTGCTCCCGTAGAATGCTCAAGACAATGCGTAAGTGCTCAGCGTGCTCCTCCTATGTCTTGGAGTATACCAAGATGTTGTCGATGAAAACTACCACAAACTGGTCAAGATGCTTCCGAAACACACTGTTCATCAGATCCATGAATACTGCTGGTGCGTTAGTCAATCCGAAGGGCATGACTGTGAACTCATAATGACCGTACCGAGTGCGAAATGCTGTCTTAGGAATATCTTCCTTCTTAACAGGGATCTGGTGGTATCCTGACCGGAGATCGATGTTAGAGAAAACCGTGGCTCCTCTAAGCTGGTCGAACAAATTGTCAATGCGTGGTAACGGATAGCGGTTCTTGATGGTGACTTTGTTTAACTAACAATAATCGATGCACAACTGCATCGATCCGTCCTTCTTGCGAACGAACAGAACCGGTGCTCCCCAAGGGGACACACTAGGTCGGATGAAGCCCTTATCCAGCAACTCCTACAGTTGAGCCTTCAGCTCCTTCATCTCTGCAGGCGCCATGCGATAAGGTGTGATCGAGACCGGTCCTGTTCCTGGAACAAGATCAATGGAAAACTCTACCTCCCTAGAGGGTGGTAGACCAGGTAAATCATCTGGAAACACATCAGGAAAGTCACATACCGTAGGGATGTCCCCCCTACTAGGCGCCTCCTGACGAGTGTCACGCACTGGGTCTGGAACAGTAATTAATTAATTAAATTAATCGATTCTATTAGACCGGGTTATAGGGCGTTACAAGTCAACCACCGGTCCACGGCGGTAGTCTGCAGCGGTTGGAAGTCAGCATCACCGCCCTTTGTTTTTTTTGAAATCATTTTAAACTTTAAAGTGTTGTGAGCTTTGTGCACATATTCGGTGAGCTTTGCAATGATAATCAGTGATCTTTGTTGCTGGGCTTTGTAAGCATTTAACCATCAAATTTTGAAGAAAAAAAGTAAAGTGTTGGAAAATCATGGTGAGCTTTGCAGTGGACAGTGGTAAGCTTTGCAATGATCAATGGTGGGCTTTGCAGTGATCAGTGGTGAGCTCCAGCGTCATCTGACTGAAACATGTCATCTTACTATAAGGTGTCATCTCACCGGAGTCAATCCCATATATATATATATATATATAAAATGGAAAAATGCTCTCTCTCTAGACCGCCGGAGACGATCTCAGGCGCCCAATCCAAGCTTTTCTCCGACCTTTTCAAACCTAGCAAGGATGCAGCTCCAACACCGATGAACTCCCCTCCTACGCCGAAGATGTTCAAAGGATGCCCATCAATCTCCTTCTCTAAAGAGGATGTTGATGGACTGGCAGGAAAGTTCAGATATGCCCTCATCGGAAAATTCAGAAGACGGCCTCCACTCTCCGTCTTTCAAAACTTTCTGAACCGCCTTGGTTTCTCTAGCGGGTTTACAGTGGGGGAACTATTTTCTAATAGTTTCCTCATCAACTTTGATCGTGATGAAGATTATCAAAGATTTTTCTACCGTAAAGTCTGGACACTTGGTAAAGACACGATGTATGTCACTAAATGGTCTCCAAACTTACGGCATGATGAAGATTCCCCAGTTGTTCCAGTCTGGATCTCCCTCCCTCATTTACCCATACATCTTCATGAGCAAAAGGCCCTCTTCAACATAGCTTCCATGTTGGGAACTCATTTGAAAGTTGATCAAGCCACTCTCAACTTCACCAGACCAAAGTGTGCCAGGGTTTGTGTGGAAGTTGACGTTTCTAAGCCCCTACACCAACGCATCCATATCAAGCATGTGGAAGATGATCTTTTCTTCCAGGTCCAATATGAAGATCCACCAGTTTTCTGCAATTCTTGCCGGAAACTTGGTCACAACCTCCAATCATGCAAGCTGGCTAATCCCTTGATCAGAGAACCCCTCAAGGATCAGGAAATCCATAAGGTCCAGGACAAAAACCCTGCAACGGTGCTAGATGGCTGGACCACAGTTCAGTGCAAAGGGAAAGCCCCTACCATTCCTCCAGCCAGACGAGAAAATAGACGAGAAGATATGTCCAACAAGGTTCCTCAAAAAATGTGGATCCCAAAATCCATATCAGATTATGGCCAACCGGAAACTTCCAAAAGGGGTGAACATAGAGGCCCTACTTTTATCCCATCCACCACAACTTTATTTTTGGAGCCTTCCGGTCTTGCACACTCCCACTTACCTTTGCATGTGGAAGTTCATGAAGCTGTCCCTGTTGCCAACTCAGTGAATACTGCCCTACATCCCATCCCTCTTGTTGACATATCAGAAGAAGACACCCCTCCCGAGGACATCTCAGAAGAAGACATCCCTCTCAAAATGACTTCCAGCTCAGCACCCCCTTCCCCTAAGGCAAAATCTCACAAATCTAAGGTGTGTACACGTTCAGATTTCAAGAAATCTTGTAATGGGATTCTCCTCTCCCTTTAATGATTAAAGTTCTCTTCTGGAATATAAGGGGTATGTCTAATAGGTGCAAAAACATAACCCTTATGAATAAGCACCATTCCTTTGATTTCCTTTTTATCATTGAACCTATGCTTAATCTCAATAAAGTTCAGTCCTTTGCACTTAAACTTGGCTTCAAGGGTTTTCTTAGTACCTGCAACAACAAGATTTGGTGTTATTAGAATACGGATAATCTCACTTATTCTGCTCATCAAGAACACTCTCAGATTACTCACTTCAATATGACAACCAAAGGGGGAAATTTTTCTTTTGCTGTTAGTGGTGTTTATGGTGACCACACTACTAGGTCCAGGAAAGCTCTTTGGTAAAACATTAAAAGTTTTAATGAATCTAACTCCACTCCTTGGCTCCTTGGAGGTGATTTCAATGCCATCTCTGACATTCTCCACCATAAAGGCAAGAAACTCCCAGACTTGGAAGGAGTGGAAGACTTCCATAACTGCATCTCAGACTGCAACTTACTGGAAAGCAACTTCACAGGTCCTTTTTTCACCTGGCATGGCGTGAGGAGTAATGGGAAAATTTGGAAGAGGCTTGATAGGGTTTTCTTCAATGAAAAATGGGCTCATTCTTGGTCAAGCATTACTATGCAACACCTCTCCAAGGGGGGCAGTGACCACTCCCCAATTATCATCACATCCAAAAATGAGGTGGTCGAAACACCAAGATCCTTCCGGTTTCAAAACATGTGGTTTCTTGATGGGGACTTTAAGAACCTTTGTAAGAAATGGTGGGAAGAAATCCCCTACTATGGGGGTATGAAATGTCTCTTTCATAAACTCAATCACCTCAAGTCTAAGATCTCTACTTGGAATAAAGAATGTTTTGGTAACATTTTTGACCTAGTTCAAGAGGCAGAAAAAGAGGCCAGCAAAGCGGAGATGGATTATGAAAACGACCCCTCTGATCACAATAGGGAGATTGCCAACCTTAAACAGGCTCAACTCATCCAAATTGGAAACAAAGAGCACTGTTTCTGGAAACAAAAATGTAACCTTAAGTGGTTTAAAGATAGGGATGCTAACACTGGTTTCTTCCACTCTCTTGTCAGGGATAGAAGACGACATCAAAGAATCCACTCCTTGAAGGATGACAATGGGAAAACACAGACAGATCCCCGGCTGAAGATACATATGAGGATTTCCTCTCTGCAATTCCAACACTCATTGATCAAAACAAAAATCAATTCCTCATGCAGCTACCCACTGAAGAAGAAGCAATCTGTGGGAAATGGATCCCAACTCCTGTCCTGGTCCAGATGGTTACAATGTCCATTTCTTCAAAGAATGCTGGGACTTCATCAAAAGAGAAGTCACTTCTGCATGTCAAGAAGTGTTTTTGGGTATCCCTATGCCCAGTGTTGCAAGCAGTACTAACATCTGCCTCATCCCAAAATGTGAATCTGCTTCTAAGCTTTCTGATTTCAGGCCCATCTGCCTCTCAACAGTGGCCTCCAAAATTGCTACCAAATGCATTGCCAACAGACTCATGCAGCTCTTACCCCTGATTATTTCAGAGGAACAAGGAGCTTTTGTGCCAAGAAGAGAAATCTTTGATCAGATCTTAATCACCAAGGAAATGGCCCACAATATGGACAGGAAAACAGAGGGGGGCAACATCATCCTCAAACTTGATATGGCAAAGGCATTTGACAAAGTAAAGTGGTCCTTTTTACTTCACATCCTTCAAAGATTTGGTTTCTGTCATAGTTTCCTACACATGGTCAAAACAGTTCTCTCAACCTCCAAATATTCAGTGCTTCTTAATGGAAAGCCTTGTGGTTTCTTTGGACAATCTAGAGGAATTAAACAAGGAGACCCTCTCTCCCCTCTCCTTTTTATCATAGCTAATGAAGGCTTCTCTAGAAACATTAACAAACTTTTCATGAATGGTGCCCTTGGCAAGTTTAATTGTGGTAGAAACAGCATCCCTATCTCCCACCTCTCATATGCTGATGATATCATCATTTTCACTAATGCCCACGCCAGGAATCTCTCCAACCTAAAAAAGTTCATCCTCAACTACCAACAAATCTCTGGCCAAACAATCAATTCTTCCAAATGTAGCTTCTTCACTGGAAAGAAATTCAACTCTTCTGGGATCAGGAAACTGGAGAAACTTCTTGACATGCCTCACAGGAAGTTCCCTTTTACTTACCTGGGAAGCCCCATCCATACTGGCATCACAAGAAAATCCCACTGCACCAACATCATCTCTGCATTTGACAGGAAACTCAATGGCTGGCATCAACATCACCTGGACCAAGCTGGTAGATTGATCCTCATCAACCATGTTCTCAACACTATCCCTAACTACTTTCTTGCTACCCACACTATGCCTAAATCCATAATCAACACCCTCCACCGAAAAATGGCTAGATTTTGGTGGGGTGGTAATAGCAAGAAACACCACTGGTTAACATGGGATACTCTTTCCTTACCCAAAGAAGAAGGAGGAATTGGCACCAGAAACTTCCAAGCCCTGGAAGAAGCTTTCAGCATGAAACTGTTGTGGAATTTCACTCATAATGATAGCCTCTGGTGCAGGTTCATGAGAGCAAAATATATGCGAAATGATGACATGGATTATCACTTGGTAGATTCACCAACCTGGAATCGAATCTGTAAGATTGACGAAAAAGCAAGCAATCACTGCAGTATTCATGATGACACTATGAGTCGGAATGAGGACTCAACAGGGAGTTTCACCCTCAAAAGTGCTTATGAGATCTGCAGATCCAAATCAAACCCTTCCTATGCATATAAATGTATCTGGGATTCTCATCACAGCCTAAAGATCAGCATTTTCATCTGGAAAATCTTTCGTAACTGCCTCCCAATCCCAGAAAATTTACGTAAGATGGGTTTCGCTCTTCCTTCCATATGCCCCTTCTGCAAATCCAGCAGCCAAACAGCCAAACACTGCTTCGTGGACTGTGATAAAATTGTTGCCATATGGAATCATTTTTCCAGCTGCCTTAACTTCCCACATGCTAAAACCAACTCCCTCACGCAACACTTCATGAACTGGTGGCTGCGTAATACTTCAAATCTGCATGGTTTCCTGAGACTACACCTTCCTTCCATCATCACCTGGCACATTTGGAAGAAGTTTAATGACATTACCCATGGTGAGGTTTCTGAAATCCACACCCCTACTCTCATTCACCAAATTGCCCTCTACACCAAACAATGGATCTCTGTCAAAGCTCCACGTAAATTACAACTTCATGATCCATCACTTTCCCACCATCACTTAATCCCTAAATTTCAAAAACACAATCCCATCAGGATGGTTAAATGGAAATGCCCACCTACAGGACGTCTCAAGCTCAATGTAGATGCCTCCTATACTCCCTCAAAATAGTGTGGTGCGGCAATACTCAGAGATCACGAAGGCACCTTTATTCGTGCAGCAACTTTCAACCTCACTTCTAATAGCTCTTATCAACCTGAAGTAGAAGCTGGCATCAAAGGTATACGGTGGGCTTTGCAATTCTCCTCCAATTTCCTCTATGAAACGGATGCTTGGGCTATAACCTCCAGAGTGACAAAGTTAGCACACCACACCATTTCCACCTTTCCTATAGATGTCCTGGGCCGTCTTATTCTCCAAAACAACATCACGTCCTCCCATGTCCTTCGAGAAGGCAACAACGCAGCGGACGCCCTTGCCAAGGCTGACTTATATCTCACCTCTAGTGTGAAAGATTATGATTATTTCCATTTGTGCCCTAGAGGCGTCAAAACTATTCTATTGCATGATTGTAACCCATCTTTTCGTTTCCATTAATCAATAAAACCCCCTTTCTTTTGTCAAATATATATATATATATATATATATATATATATACATATGTATATACATACATATATATTCCTTTAGAATGAATCAAGTCCTTTCAACACATCTCATGGTACTCAATGGAACGATTTCCATGCGGTGCCTTTACAGAGTGAGTCTCTAAAAAGGTTAACCTTGAGATTTATGCAAGTTTCCTTTTGCAAGGATCTTCCACGTATGTACTAGACTTAAAGTATCCTTCGTCCTTTGATCCATCTATATGGATTCTTAGACTCAAACTATTCAAGATTGGCCTGTGCCCACTACCATGCAGCAAGTTAAGAGTTTTAATGGACTTGCCTCATTCTACCGAAGGTTCGTGAAAGACTTCAGTACCATCACAGCACCTCTAACCAATCTTATGAAGAGCCAATGTTTCGAATGGAATCCGAAGGCGCAACAAGCCTTCGAAATAATCAAGGAACGTCTAACACACGCACCCGTGTTAGCCCTTCCAAGTTTTGAGAAGCTTTTTGAAGTCGAATGTGACGCGTCGGGCCGTAGGCATTGGAGCTGTCCTATCTCAAGAGGGACATCCCATCTCATACTTTAGTGAAAAGTTGAATGAGACAAGAAGGCTGTTAGGCTCTTTTATAGTCTTTAAGTTCCCTTACATTTACTAATCTTAGGGTCACCATTAGTGAGAATTTGGTTTAATTTAAGATCAAGAAAGAACGTTGACCATCCTAGAGGTTGGAGTGCAATTCTTGTGTTATTTTAGGTCCATTGGGTTAAATGTTAGATTCGGGCTAGACGACCCGAAGTGAAAATAACCATCCCGGCCCATTCGTTAAGTACAAGACGTAGGGCGTTGGTGAGGAAGGCAGTTACGCCAGAGAGGAGAAAGGAACGAGAGAGAGAGAGAGAGAAGGTGAGATAGAAGGTTCACCGGGAGAAAAACTCCGGCGACTAGGCATAATCCGGCGAGTTAGACCTCGCGATCATCATCATCTGTCACACAATCATCAAGCGCTCCTCCTGATCAGGCACTGTAGCCAAAGAGAGGAGTCATCACGTTCGTAGGATTTGATCCTCGAACGCTGTCCAAAGCTAATTCATTGCTTTGGTTTCCAAATTCGAGATACATTCTTAATGTTTGAGGATTGTTTGAAATGATGATTCATAACTGAACATGTGATTTCGTGCTAAATCTCACTTTTGTTCAACAACATGTTTAACTGAGAATCTGATTTTTCACTATGATCTGAACAACTGTTCCTAATTCCACCAGACAAGCTTGTTCACTCTACTTGATAACCACAAATCTTTACCTGATCTTCTCTCTCCTTCTTTGATATGTTCTCATTGTTTCTGTTAGAATCTGTTTTCAATACGTAGCATTAGGATCTTATGAACAACCCCCCCCCTGCGTGTGTGTGTGTGTTGTGGAAACTGAGCAATAAATCAAGAGAAGATATAATAGAAGACAAATCTCCCTGTGGAAGAATGACCCTACTTACCACTTTGCTACCATTTTTATAAGTGTGTAGTAATTGGGGAATAGGTTAATTTGTTGTCACCTGACAAGTGGCTAACAAATTTTGGCGCCGTTGCCGGGGAGATTTGATCTCTTCTATCTTTTCTAACTGTCATACTAGGTCTTTATAAGTTGTTTTTTGTGAACATCTGTGTCATTGTTGAGTTGGCACTAACCCTTGTTTTAAGTGTTGTGTCAGTATCTGCCTTTTGATGCAGTTAAGAAGTGGTGTGGAGACCACAAGGGTAAGTGTTGAAATAAATTTGGAGAATCGGGTCAGTATATCTGAGGTTGCTACTTCTTTTGATTCTGAATTAGAATCTGAAACTGAGGTAATTGTTTCTCCTTTCCAAACACATAATAACATGGCAACTTTAAGGGAACTAGCTGCACCTGACCTTCAGACCCAGCCCATGTCCATTACTTATGCTGTTTTGGAAAAACCATTGAAATTAAACTCTGGATTTTTGAATATGCTTCCCAAATTTCATGGCCTGTCTGGTGAAGACCCTTATAGACATGTTAATGAGTTCCTCATAACATGTGCAGCCATGGAACTTGAAGGAGTTCCTCAAGAGCAAATTAGACTTAGGGCCTTTCCCTTTTCAGTAATGGACAGAGCAAAAGATTGGCTGTACTATATACCTCCTGGGTCTTTTACAACCTGGCCATCACTGCATAGGGCATTCTTAGAGGAGTTCTTTCCTGCCTCAAGAATAGGATCTATTAGGAAAGACATCTGTGGGATAAAACAACTGGGGAATGAATCATTTTCTGAATATTGGAAGAGATTCAATAAACTCTATGCTAGTTGTCCTCAGCATCAAATCTCTGAACCTCATCCAGTACTTCTATGAAGGGTTATCCCTAATGGATAGAAGTATGGTAGATGCTGCCAGTGGTGGTGCTTTAGTTTGTTCAATCTTATATCTCAGAACACACAACAATTTGGACTTAGGATTAATGAACCAAAAAAGGAAACTGAATCTCTTGCAGCCCTCACTGATCAGATTACCAATCTCACCAAAATTATGGGTCAAATGGTTAGTGTTGGGGGAATCAAGAAGTCAGTTTGCTCTGTGTGTAGTCTAGAAGGGCATACTTCTGAAGTGTGTCCCGGTTTTCAAAATCAAATGTTTTCAGCTCCTGGTTTTCGATCTGAAAATTTTCAAAATTGTGAGGTCAAAGCTACTTTTAACAATCAAGGACAGAGAAGGTATGACCCCTACTCCAATTCCTACAATGAAGGATGGAGGGATCATCCAAATCTGAGATATGGTCCCAGACCAAAAATACAAACAACAACAATTTTTCTGCAAATTTAAACAACCCTCCTGGTCATGTTGATAAAACACACCAAATGCTGGAAGTAATTTTGAAAAAAATGGAGGACAAGTTCTCTCTAGTTGATCAGAATATAAAGCTAATCCAAGAAAGGCAAACAGCCCAGGATACCTTGTTGAGTAATTTGCAGGCCCAAATTAACAACAGGTTACCTGCTCAACCTTTTCCTGCTCCTAAGGAGAATGTGAGTGCAGGTACTTCCTGAACCTTCCTTAGGGAATGTTAGAAGGGAACAGGAAATTATGGAAAAGGAACTTGACTCACAGAAAATCCAAGACCCTGAACTGGTCAACAATAAACCTGTTGTGACTCCTAAACCACTTGACACTCCTAAGGTTGACACTCCTAAGGCAGTTTACAAACCTCAGCCACCCTTCCCCAGTAAATATCAGAATCAAAGGAAGAACAGTAAAGAACCAGATGATGAAATATTTGAAATGTTTAAAAAGGTTCAAGTGAACATTCCTCTTTTAAATGCAATAAAAAATGTTCTAAAATATGCAAAATTTTTGAAAGAGATGTGCACTAATAAAAGAAGGCTGAAAGGGGATGAGAGGGTAAACATTAGTGAAAATGTATCTGCCATCTTTCAAAAGAAACTTCCACAGAAATGTCAGGACCCTGGTGTGTTTTCTGTGCCTTGTAAGATTGGAAATTTGGAGAATACTAAGGCTTTACTTGATTTAGGAGCATCCATCAATGTCATGCCTAGGGAATTATTTGACCAATTTGGGGTAGGAGAACTAAAAGAGACTGGGGTAGTTATTCAACTTGCTGACAGGAGTTTGACTTACCCTGAAGGGGTGGTTGAGGATGTTTTAGTCCAGGTCAATGACATGCTCTTTCCTGCTGACTTTTATGTCCTAAACATGGGACATGATTATTCACGCATCCATCTCCTTCTGGGCAGACCGTTTTTGAAAACCGCTAAGGCCAAAATTGATGTTGATGCAGGAACTTTGTCCTTAGAATTTGAAAATGAAGTTATTAAGTTTAACATTTTTGAGGCAATGAAGTTTCCTGATCAACTCAATCAAGTTTTTACATTAGACATCATTGATGAAATGGCACAAGATGTTTTTCAATTATCAAATCAGGATGAGCTTTTGAGTGTGGTGTCCAATAGTCTGGATCTTGAATCCTTGAAATTCTCTCCATACACTGTAAATTCAGAGATTCATAAATATGTTAAAATGTTATCTGAGGTTAAAACTGTTTCTTTAACTCATACTCTGGAGCTTCCTAAAAATGTACCTAGACAGTTGCCCTCCCTTGTCCAACCACCTGAGTTGGATTTGAAACCTCTACCCTTAGATCTTAAGTATGCTTATTTAGGCTTGAACAAAACCTTACCAGTGATTATCTCCAGTAAACTGACTGAGGAACAAGAAGATAGGCTGTTAGGAGTGTTAAAACAATTCAGTGGAGCCATAGGGTGGACCTTAGCTGACTTGAAGGGTATCAGTCCAGCCTTTTTTAGCCACAGGATTTGTTTAGAACCAGGTTCTGAGCCTAAGGTTGACCCTTTTAGAAGAATCAACCCCCCAATGTTAGAGGTTGTACAAAAGGAGATTACTAAGAATGGGTGAGTCCTATTCATGTGGTTCCTAAGAAAGGAGGAGCCACAGTGGTTACCAATGAGAAAGGGGAAGAGATTACTAAAAGGGTTCAATCAGGGTGGAGGGTATGCATAGATTATAGGGAATTAAATAAGGCCACTAAGAAAGACCATTTTCCTTTACCTTTTATGGACCAAATGCTAGAGAGATTGTCTGGAAGATCCCATTATAGTTTCCTAGATGGGTATTCAGGATACATTCAAGTCCCTATTTCTCCTGAAGACCAGGAAAAAACCACTTTTGTTTGTCATTATGGGACCTTTGCTTTTAAAAGAATGCCTTTTGGTCTGTGCAATGCCCCTGCAACATTCCAAAGGTGCATGACCAGCATTTTTTCAGATTACTTGACAAAAATAATGGAGGTTTTCATGGATGATTTTACTGTGTATGGAGACAGTTTTGATGAGGGTTTAGAGCATTTAGCTATGGTTTTACAAAGATGTGTTGAGTCAAACCTTGTCCTGAACTTTGAAAAGTGTCATTTTATGGTAGATAAAGGTGTTGTTTTGGGACATGTTGTTTCTAAAAGGGGTTTGGAAGTTGATAAGGCTAAGGTAGAGGTCATTTCAGCCTTACCTTACCCTACCAACTTAAAAGATGTCAGAGCTTTTTTGGGACATGTGGGATTTTATAGAAGATTCATAAAGGACTGTTCAAAAATAGCTTTACCTCTAACTGCCTTGTTGGGTAAAGATGTGCCTTTCCACTTTGATGAGAATTGTAAAAAAGCTTTTGATTTCTTTAAACTTAAGCTCACCACTGCCCCTATTGTCCAAAGCCCTGATTGGACCTTACCCTTTGAAATAATGTGTGATGCCAGTGATAGGGCCATAGTGTTGAATCACGGTTTATCACTTCGTAATACTAAAGCCGTGTCTGTTTTTGTTACAGGTTTTGATAATGCCAAACCGCCGTGAAACAAACGCAAGAAAAGAATACACAAGGCGAGAATCAAGAAGATGAGAACGAGAGCCTAAAAGAGAACCAAGAACAAAGACTTAGGTGTAAATGTATTGAGTCGATCTTATTGTGATCAAGATCGACCCAAGACTCATCTATTGGCTCTTTAGGCTAAAGAATTCTCTCTTGCATTTGCATAACATCAAAATACTTTTCAAATATGTCTTTTGTGAAAAACCTTTCAAAACATGTGTTTTAATAACTCTCCAAACCAAAACACGTTTTTAATCAATGAAATATCTTTGGAGAGCTTTTGCTGATTTGATGGCGAACCACCCAACCAGCGATGGTCATCTCAGACCCATCGCTGGTCAGATGGTCTTCAGACCAAGGCTGGTAAACC